GATAATTTCCATCGCAATTTTGCGCGAAGCAATAAAGCAAATTACTAATCGGATTAGACGTCGCAGTGAAAAGCTGAGAAGATTAATAAATAAATTTTTGTGCATGGGGTGAAACTCCAATCACGCGCACTAAATGCTGAAATTATTTATCAAAATAAAAAAATAAGCACTGTAATAATTAAAATCTTGGCATTATTTTAGACAAATAATAATTTTAATTAATTAATTACCTACCATTTTTTTTTTTTCATTTTTGCTGTAAAATTCTCAGTTACATATGTACGATAGTAGTACACGCAGTGGTCACAAGATGTCAATTACCACAGCTGCTCAAGTACCGGTACCTAATCATTTCCCGCATTCACTTCTTCTATCTTATCTTGCGACTCGTTCGCGATCTGCACGTTCCTCTCGGATTAACGTTTCTCGTAATCGGAAATTCTGACGGTGTAATCTGCCGGGATAAACGATGTCACGCCTTTTCTCTCTTTTTTCTATTCACCGGGATACGCGCGACCCTTTATTAGTTCGACCAACATAGCGACAGCATAATCAACGGTTCGCAGTGCTGAGCAATTTCTAGCGCAGTGCCGAGGCTAATTGCGCGAAACACGCCGCAGGAGTCATTCGCGAGAAATTGCGATACTACATTTGGTATCGCGAATGCCTTCATTTCAGTTAGATAAACACATTGTGGCTCTTGTTAGTAATTTAAAATAATATTATCTCAAAGCGTAATGATATATCCGTAATAAAACAGATAGAAGGCTGTAAAAAATAATAATATTCCACAGTCGATGTCACACGGTATCGAGTCATACTGAAAGATAACGAGATTACGTATTTGTAATTAATTTATATTGTGACATTAATATCGTTATTAAAATTAAAAATAAAGATTAAATCGTTATTAAAAGGCAAGTTTTAATTAAAAACTAAATAATAAATGCATAAATTTGCCACATCAAAATGTCGTTACTAATAATCGACGCTGCCGCAAAAGTAAATCAAAGTATATCATTATTATAATTCATAGTCACCATAATTTATAGTTTTTATGTAAGCCCACTCGCAGAGACATTTTAATCATGAATAGACGTGTATGACGAATATGCACGGCAATGATTATTACAATTGAAAGCGGAAAGCCATTTCCTTACACCGGCGAAGGGAAGAAATCTAATTAAGGAAGATGATGTTAATAATGTAAGGACTTTTTTTTAAGTTTTATGAGGAAAGCGGATAATCCATTTTCCATCTGTTCCTCAATACTTTAGAAAGCTAAACAGAGAAATTGCTAATACGCCAATGCTTGCAGATGCATTTGAAATTTCCACATAGTTTCGCACTGTGTTATCTTCGTATAATTTAAATAATTATTAACTAAATGAAGAAAAGATATAGGATCGCGGGAAAAAAATCTAAAGAACAGCAATATAAATTTGCTCATTATCTTGTTACATCTTGATGACTCGCCAGCCTAATGATCTGTTGCATATCGAGAGCTGTTATTTCATTTATCAAACGCTAGAGCAAGGAATCAAATGACCGCTATTTAAAATTCATATCAGCGATATGTCACCTTCACACGGCGATTCGTGTTTCCCATCGCGAGAGATATAGCCGGGGATCAATCTAGGTCCAAGACGCGCGCGCGAAGAACTTGATTCGAAAATGGTTCTCCCCGGCGATGACGTCGACGCGACTCCACTTGCTGTCGGCCGGCGAAGGTATCTAACTCCGCAAGAAGTGCCGCTATGTCCCACATAAGAGCCGAGGCGGCGGAATATGATTCTGGGACGGCCGACCGGCGCGTTCGATTATTACGTATCTGCCGAGTCCGCTTACGGTCGGGTTTTTCGACTCTTAAATCTTGCATCACCGGCGGAATAATGCGGTAAATTTCGGTATTGAATTTCTGTTTGAAGGATCTTGACCTTGTACTCCTTCTGCGCGATTCTAGAAGCTTCAGAAACTTTTTTTTTTTAAATAACTGTGACTTTGAAATCGCTGTTTATCATTGACAAAATAGTTACAGAAATTAATTTTCATTGCTTTCTACGTTTGAAATTGTTTCTTTTATTCGTATAATGAATATTTCGAATTATCCACGCAAGCATGACGGGCAAATTCGCGAAGCGTTTTAATGGACATTTTGCTATTGAAATTGCTTTCGGATTACAATCAAATGAATAAAATTGGAAGTAAGTAAGAAATGAGGAGATTTGCGAACAATTCTTTTGCTACTAAACGCCATGACTCATCCTTTCTCTACTTATTATTCCACTTCGAAAGCACAGATGGTAGTTGAACCACTTAAATCATAACTCAGCATATATTTACCAACTTAGAACACACGGTTGCACTTTTTGTTTGTATTAGCAAGAAACCATTTTTCCGTGATTATGCCACGAGTGTTATATAAATTTGAGTGAAGTTACTCACTTAGCGTTTAACACATTTAACACAACGGAGAAAATTTTATATTAAAAATTACTATAATACGGCAGTGTAGCCGCAGATTATAACAGAGGAATTATAAGTTTATTACTATAATACGACAGTGTAACCGCAGACTATAAAAGAAGTTATAGTTAAGTTTAAAGCCATTATGTGCGAAAAACGGTAAAAATTTTTATAATTTTTTCATGGTCCGCGGCTACATAGTAATTTTTGATATAAAATTTTCCCCATGCATTTTGTGCATATGCGATATAGCCGATGAATTAATTTACCCCAAAACTTGATGGTACCAAAAATTAATTCCAAAAATGATAAATAACAATGGAAACGTTCATCGCGTAGTAAACCGGAAGCGAACATTTCTTCCATCAGTCTTTCAAGCATTAATTATGCATGACGACGCGACAAGTAGATCACTGGCACCACGACCTGCCAACGCTATCAGGAAAAACACACGGCGCTTTTGTCGATCAGGAAAGAAATGCTGCTTTCCCCCTCTGCAAACCGGTTTCACGATACCGAAACGAGTCGAATCGCACACGTTCTGTTCTTTAGCATCCATCTGTCGGGCGGCTGCCCACCGCGTGTTACGTCGGAATGCGCTCCTCTACGCGATTGACACTCGCTCGCATTCGGACTCTATAAAAAACCTCTTCCTGAAACCATCAGTTATCATCACACATTTCATCGTCAGATTTTTCACGCGTAGAGTGTAAAAAGTGGATGCGGGCTGGAATTCAAAGTTGCTCGATATTATTAATCAGCATTAATCTGTATCTGACTTGTCAGTTGTGTTTCCTGTTTGTAATGTTACCTGAGGATTCCAATGAGCTTTGCAAGACGTTTGCAAGACAAATGTTTGAGAAATTTATTTCTTAATAATTCAATGTAATTTGACTGTCATGTTCAAGGTACACACATGTTAAAAACTCGGTAAATTTGCACAACTAAGAAGTAAAAATTACATGATAAACAACGGAAATGTACTAAGTAAATAGTATAAAATTTATGAAATTATGCAAATTTACATTATATATTTAGTACATTTCTGTTATTTATAATTTTTACATCTTAGTCGTGTAAATTTACCGATTTTTTTTACAATGTCTAATAGTTACGGGACACCAAGAATACTTTTTTTTTTATACTGAACGCGAAGTATTTTCGTTCCGTTCCGCTGGTTCAAATACGATATCTATTTTATTCGCATTATTGCAATATTTATTTTGCATTGCAATAGAAAAATAAATACTACAACTTTCACGGGCGCGCGTAGCTGCCACAGATACTAATAACTTGATATCAGCATCTACGCCCATGAAAGCTCGGATATTCACTTTTCTTCCTGATCAAATATGAATGTCGACTTCCTGATCCACTTGCTATTTTCCCTCTAATCACGTTATGCTCGATTTGCTTAAATCCCCTTCTATCCATTGATCTTTGAATTGAATTCTTTTTCTAATTTAATATTACTGAAGTATCCTCTTTTTCCCCGCAGAATTACGAATCCGTGCAAAACTGTTACTAATTGTGTTCAATAATTTTTCATCTTGGCATTCCAAAGTTTCTTACCGGCAGTAAGAGTGCAATTTGCTGTAATTTTATATAAATAATTCAAAATTTTTGCAAACTGCGTCAAAGTCCTATAAATACCAAGAATCCACGTTACACAATTGAATTTGTTCTGCGTACTATTTTAAATTCTCCTCAAGCGCATATGCATGATTTCAATTTAATTATCCAGATTTCTTTCTGAAAGAAAACAGATTAATTTTGGATTCATGTTGATTCGATAGGACTACTCAGGTATACGGAGCCACTCGAGACAGCCGAGATACCGTATCGTCGTATGCACCGTACGTCAAGTTCACCCACTTCGCGCATCGATCGTCGACGGTGGCGGAAGAATCTCCCGCTCGCTCGCTCGCTCGCTCGCTCGCGCGCACTTAGCATACGCGCTCATATCTGGTAACGACGATGACGACGACGGGGACGACGGGTGGCGAAGGTTGTTCAACTCGGGCGGATCTCGCAGCACCGCCGTCGAGTAACGGGTCCTAAGGCCCGCGCGCGCCGGGCATCGTGTCGGCGCTCCACCTTCGCTCGGCTTTACCTCCTCGCGGCTAGGCGCGAGCGCGCGCGTCCACGGACCCTCTTCCTCTCTGTGCCCACTATAAACCTTCTCCAACCTGGGTATGCGAGTACGACTTGTCGAGCGGCCAGTCAGCCGTGCACCATTGTCGAAAGATCGTCCGGATAGTCGACACGCGTCTTCTGACACTCTCCACTTCAGTTCTCCGCTTCGGCCGGTTCGCCGACGTTCCATCTTTTCGCCGTTTTTTTTTCCCTGCGTTACAAATTTTTTAATATCGCGATCCGTTGGATTTTACAGCTTTCGGTTTAAATGCCCAAACGACTTTGAGTCGTTTTTTTTTTTTTTCCCTTCGAATACGGTATCGTCGGTGAAATATTCTTCTAAACAGGTGGTCGTTGGAGAGTTAACGCGCGCGTTCGGGTGGTGCGCGTTCGGGTGTGTGTGAAGCTCGCGTTTGAAGTGATTCAATGCGTCATCAAACGGTTAATTGAGATATAGGTAAGATCATAATGAAGTTCACAATGAGCACTTAGTATTTTTCACATTGGGTTGAATACGCTTGACTCCTTAAACTATGCAAATTTCATAAAATGTAATACTTTAAGTACTATTTTTTTTAATGTTAAACATTTCACATAAACATTATAAAATTGCAAAGAGAAATCATTGCATCTCATATGCGATCACTTGGATGAATACAATCTGTACTAAACAATATTGCAATGTTATAAAAATTATTTTAAAGTAATTGAAATATACTCACAAATAGACCAGATTTATCACAATGGGGTGTTACTTATTCTTAATTGAGAGATGTTATCGAGATATTATAACGACGGTGAGACAAAAACAGAACATCTTGTGGTCCATGTTCAGGATATGATACCGTTGATAGTTGCTCTTGTATCTATTTGATTATGCTAGTACAGTCACTTCCTTCGAGATTCTTGCTCTTCTTCTTGTCTCTCTTTTTGCACCATTACGTTACAGCAGCTGGGTCGCGTTTCACGGATGTCTTACCTCATTAGGCGATTGGTCGAAATGGGAACACTTTTGAAATTTATACGCCGCGCTCCAAAAGTGACCTGAAAATAAATACGTTACATTAGTTCAAGTCTTTAATATGATGGACATTCTACTTTTACTGGAAGTGAATTGTTAACGTTGTTGTTTTGGTTAATTTAGCTTTGAAGAATTAAGATAAATTAAAAAAAGAGTCCTTTTCATATATATATCCAACTCTAAAGCTCGATTTGCCAAAGTCTTTTCTTGTTTAAATTATTTATAAAATATTGATACGATATTTTTATTTAGAAAAAATTTATTTCCATTTTCGACAAGACAAGTATAGTCCTTTGTATCAAATATATGGAAATGATTAATGCTCGGACATGATTAATCGCAGCTCATAAAAATTCACATTCTGTATCGATACGTTGTTCGACGAAAAAAAAACAATTATTAATATTCACGCATTAAATGAGGCTCATAAAAATTCAAAGAAAAGGGAAAACAGTCGTTACGTTTCTCTTACGTATGAATACTTTCAATTTTCGTTCATTTCCTTCTTCCACTTTGCTTTCCGAGCGGTTTAAATTATTTGGCTTTTCACGCTTCGGTGAAAATGTCTCTCGCAATGAAGTCTGACTTAGCACAAGCGAGAAGTTACTCTCGTCACGCCTTTGCAATAACAAAATAGTCAAACGCTATAATTATTAATGCAGAGCGAGTTGTGGATCCAATGCGAGATTCGCACGAGAATGTCCATTGTGCGAGACGGTCACGGTGAAGGTTTTCCCGTAACAATGGCACATCCCTGTAAATATGATCCGATCTGGCCGTGTTGAAATTAATGCGATTTACTGACCCGGATGATCGGGAAGAGATGCTCTCGGACGATCATGCCGTTCTCCTTCGTTTTGCTTCGTTTCTTATCCGCCGTGATCTAATTTCAGCGACGATGGATATACGCGACGCTCGTTAGAGCGCAAATCTGTTTGTTAAACAGCGTATCTTCATTGCGCGTGATCTTTTCCGCTGGCGCGATCAGCGTTCCGGAAAGGGTTCACATTAGCGATTCCATGAATGCGCGAATGGTCTTCAACGATTCCAGCGCGGATCAAAGAATTGTCTTCGATATCGATATTGTATTTCAAAAGAATTTGTTTCGTTTGGATATGTCTTATTATTTTTGCCGGCAATTGTAAGAATATCGAGACTTGAAAAAATATTGTGCCGCTAAATTGAACGAATGGACGGAATATTATGTTATTCTTTATAATTCCTCCTCATAATTTCTCCATAAATTCACTTTTTACATTAAACCTCGCGATATTTAAGGAGCGCAAATAGCTGTGATGTAAAAAGCGTTTCCCCGTAACTGCATTTGCGTCTGTTTACGCTACAATGTTACGGAAAATTGCTGCTATGCTTGCCACCGAAAATAGTCAGTGCGTAAATAAAAAGAGCACGGGTAATAACAATTATTATCGCGTACAACGGTTCTATTCTACAATGGTAAAACTGCGGACTATTCACGATTGCAACAAATCAAATCCGATTAAAATACTCTTCTTTACTTTGTAATTATTATATTTATACTGTTCGTTTAAAGTGTTTTACGCTTGGTAGCAACTTATTGTAATATTTTTATTTAACAAACAAAAAATTAATTAATCTTTCTTCATCGGTGCATTTGTTTGGAATTTCTCGAAATACTTTTGCAACGTGATTCGCGACGCAGAGTTATTTTCTTGCTCGCGAAGATACACTCAAACGGTTAACGGTACGCGCCCGCTCGTAGAATTCGCACGTCGGATTCTACAACTATTCTACCGACAAATAATGTCCCGGGCTGCTCGTGTGCTTCGGCCGCTCACGTTCTCTGCCGACGCGGGATGCACGTTGCGTCACATGCAAAGGATGCCTGAAGAAGATCGACGCCCGGTACCGTTATTGGACACGAATATGAACGAAAAAAATGCGGTACATGCGGAACGGTAAAAAACATCCGAGTGACAATCATCCAATCGGTAGAGAATTCTACAGAGTTCATCGCCGGTGATGTTTAACGTAGCATTCGAGGCCGAAATCCGAAGCGGAGATTTCAATGCCCGATTATGCTTGATTCTTCGTTTGTTTGTTAATTATGGCTTTTATCGACAGTTCAATTAAAAAGATATTTTTGTATAAATTCTATATTAGTTGCAAACATCGCAAAATTCTACGATCTTTATTACGCAGAAGCGTGCTTAATTATGTGCAAATGATAAAATAATGTCGCTGTTTGCATTCTACGTGCTTCGATGATTGAAACAATCGAAAATGAGAAACGAATACGAACGATCCTTTCAATCAAGACCTTCATCGGCAAATCGGTGATCAAAGATTCGCGTCGCGCAGCCCGCGAAGCAAATCCGCTGAAGTCGACTGTCTCGATCATTGCGTCATTGGCGACCGATCGCTTTAAATTCTTCAATTTTTGTTTTCGACGTTAAAAACTTTTGGGCGATGCTGTTTTACAATTATATTTACAGAAGAAATTAAAGTTAAAAAAAGAGAGATTAATTCATATTAAATCACTTTTATCTGTTTGATATTATTTTAGATAACAATTTAGAGAACATATAGTTAATGCTGGTCTAAATAAATAATTATTACATTTTATAAAACGATGCATAATTTATTAATACGTGAAATTATCAAAGTATTGTAAAAAAAAAACTTGGAAACAAATGTACGCGTGCACATTCTCGCTTGTAATAATATATTTATGCGTGCTTACTCGTGAATATTAATACAAGCATTGCGTCTTTGTCGTCATTAAATCAAAACTTTCGACTCCCGCGCTCACTCCACCATTTCCGGCTGCCGTTGTTCTTTCCATCGCGTGTATCATCGATTTGATTGCCCCTTTCGTTTGACGATCGTTTTTGTGGCCGGCGTGCTCTCGACTGGTTCTCAATAACATACAATCCGTTCGCGTGCAACGAGAGATCTGCGATCTAGATCGTTACTCAAGATCAGGTTCAACGTTTGAGTGTAGGTCATCATGTCGAGGACAGCCTGTAGATATGTTTTTCAATTAACGGAATTTATTCATGGAATAAATTCCGTTAATTGTTTTTGGAATTCATGGCGTATTATTTTCAATAATTTCATTCTAGAATATGTAAATAAAGCGCATGAAATTTTTCAAGCAAATCTTTTATGCGAAATTGTCTTACGCAGAGTTCTAATAAATGTGATATCTTATTTTTACACATTTTTCTTGGTTTTTGTTTCAGTGCGAAAATGCGAATGCAAATGCTGAAAATCGTGGTGATTCTGCTGATTGCAGGATCAGGTGATGCCAGGCCCCAGAAAAGTGGTAGGTTTCATAAAAAAAAATTATACGACATACGATAATATATTTCGAGAAGGATTACGACGCGACGGAAGCAATCGGCGATATTTAGCAATAAAACCGTGTAATGTGACGAGTTGGTAGGAAATGGCGTTTTCTAATGCAAATTGATGCCTTTTTTACGGCGCAACTGCAGTTAGCGAAACGTATTCTTATCCAATTGCGAGTCTGTTATCTTTTCATACATATTAATATCGTTGTTGCAACAATTTGAGAATGTTTCAATTATGCAGTGGACATGATTCGCCGATTTTGCGATTTACTTGGCAAATTCACGTGCGACGATTATTTTCAATTACCGACTCTCTCTCTCCCTATTTGCTAATGAGTCTTTCGTTTGCTAAAGCAATCAGCTGTGTTCGATATTTCGTGATAGAGAAAACGCATGTGAGGTATCTAAGGTGTAATTACTCAATAGCACTGATTACACATTGTCGTAGCGTATCGGATCGCGGCTTGCCTTTTCGTAAAGCAACATTTATTGTTTCTCGCGTGCGCTATCATCACCACCTGCGCTTTTCTTACAAAACCGAATTTCTCAAGACGGAAGCGCTTACGTGCTAGCCATTCAAACTACAGTGTTGAGAAATTTTTGCGCCGCAACGTGGTTCACGCGATTGGCAACATTCGTACATTATTGGAGATATCGTTAAGCTTCGTCGATATCGCGCGTTTATCGATATTTATTGTTAAAATATTTTTCTAAAATTAATCAGAATTTTGTCTTTCAGGCGCGGATTCAGCAGCGCGTGCGGAAATATTTGAAGCGAGCAACGCGGGATGGAGAGGCATTCGTACCTCGGACAAGTCGCACGACATTGTTCGAGACGATAGCAGGTATACAGGGACTTCTGGAAGTAATAGAAAGTCGTATATTATAGATTTCCGCGACAGTGTCGATTCGTCGCGCGAGCACGACGCAGTCGGTTTACGAGCGAGTGGCTTTGCTCCAAATGGCATGGCGCGATCGTTCAGCGCTCGTCGTTCTAAAATCGATGACATTTGGTTAGTGCCCGAATTTAAGGCAGTAGATACTCCTCCAGACTTTTCAAGGATGGATGTATTAGGGGAAGCTAGAAGGATCGGCGCTGCTCGGAATTCAAGCGAAATGATCAGACCTTCGCTTCACGGTCCTTCTAGCAATTCAAAGACAATTCACGACGAAAAGGTAGCTTGGATAAGATCCGTTTTAGCGTCTAACAGAAGCTCGGTCTTAGCCAATCGAACGAATTATTCGGGAAAGGTGAATATTGAGAATTTAGAGAGATCTGGCGCAAATGAGAATTTTAAATCGGCAGAAAATAATTTCTCACCACGTGTTTCTGGTCTTCAGAGGGCAAATAACGATATTTCTATCGTGACGAAAAATCGACAAGAGTCAGTTTCGGTTAGGTATAATTTGTTCTCAAATAGAGATACGATTGGAAGTAATAATTGGAAACAGGGTTCAAATATTTCTTCTTCGCAAACATCGAATGTCCCGAATCATCTTCGGAAAGACGCTGCAACTCGTTCGACCCATAAAAATCGTAATTCAGTTCTTAAAAGCACAGAAGAAAGAATGAATTCGTACAAAAATTCGAAACCAGGTTTCGTCATTGATTCCATTCGTAACGTCGGCGGCGCCCAACGCGACGGCTTGAATAATTCAGAAAACTCGGCGCACGGAATAGAAGCCTTGATCTCGAATTCGAAATCAGAAGTCGCGCCTGACAGAAAGCCGGTGACGTTTAATAGAAATTTTGTTAGACTCCGACATCCATTCTCCGCCGTCAATCGGCGGAACGCTAGCAGCGTCTCGTTGAATTCCCAACTGAACGACGTTCGATTCACCGCCGTTCAATTGAGGAACTCGACGAATAGCCACTTGACGCAAGCAGCTGCGAACAGGCCCGATCTGAATGATCATTCGATGTTCGAGCCAGCGAGCGATCGTTATCCCGTTCAGAAACTGCCGAGTCAGGTCGAGAGAGTCGACAGCGGAAGTAACGAGACGAGAGACGAGTACAGCGGTGCACCCGTGCAGCACGGCGCGAACTTGAAGAACTGGCCGAACGAGGCATTCCAGAATATCGACGATCTGTACAACTATGATAAGTACACTTCGTCGGAGAAGGAGTCGAATCACGATTCGGATCTTCAGGGCGCAGATCGAACGCCGATTTCACTGTCGAACGACGGCTACATCAATCATCCGGACCCGATCCTAGATTCTAGCGTGAAGAAAATTATCCACTGGCTGAAGATACCAGAAATTGACCCGAACAGCACACACTTTGTGGGCGGCGATGTTCACAAACCGGTCGAATCGGTTCTGGAATCCGTTTACGCAGACTTGGAACCGAATCGTCCGGTGAGCGTCAGTACTCACGACGGCAATTATGAAACCGTTGTTCTGCAGGACGCGACTCAGCATCAAGGCTTCGACAGAATAGATTATCACGAGGAATATCCAAACCAATGGTCGAATCCGAGTCCGGCTGCTCCCCCTCAATACGCGATCGATCCTTCCAGCTCGGTTCCTTCCTTGCAGAACAAGACTATTTATAATCCCACGACGCACGTGACACAGAACACGGTGGTTCACATTTTGAATGACGGTCTGAAAAGGCCGAACGTGACCGTGGCGCAATTGAAAGCGCCGCAGTCAGACGCGGCGTCTGACGTCGATGACGAGCTCTCCTCGGAATCATCCTCGGAATCGTTCGCGGAATCGGTTCAGGGGCCCAACGTTCACGTAATGTTCACTTCTCAAAAGGACGAGGACGAGTCCGTGAAGCAAGAGACGAATAACCTTCCTCCGGCGATCTACAACACAAATTGCCCGACGATCATGATAAACACGTACACTCGCGTGAATAACACGCTTGAGAGCAAGGAAGGGTGCACCGATCTGAATATAATTGTCAACTCTCACGTCTCGGCGAACGTGTTCAAGCCGAGCGACGGGCCGGTCGGAGGGGCCTCATTGGCGACGCAGAGCTACGACGACGCGGACGAGAGCAACAAGTACGTCGAAGAGATCGTCGACGATCTTTCTCAACAAGATTCCTCGAATAGTTACGTGACCGCCTCGTCCGGAGCGTACGATTCGCTCGCGTCGCCGGGTCAAAACTATTACGACGCTGAGAAAGATCCCGAGGGAACTTTCAGCGGGAATGATCCCGTTGCCCCGCAATTGTCCACCGTCGAGGTGTTTCAGGGTACGCAGATCAGCGTGTTGGGCTCGAACGTGCCGTTAACGGAAGTGACGGCGGGTTCGGTGCTCGCCGCGGGCGCAGATGGTCCCATCGGAGCGTCCGTCGACGGTTCCGCCGTGGGCGATCCGGCAGCTGCCGGAGCTTCCGTCATTGGACCACCTGTCGGCGGAAGTTTGCCCGCCGTTGCCCAGGGACTGAACAGTCCCGGAACGGTGATGGGTCAGGCCAATAATGCTTTGGGTTCCTTGCAGCTCCCCGCGTTGCCGAATGTTTCGATTAAGCCGGGCGCTTTGCCGAGCGTTGGTGGACTGTCTTCGTCGAAACCGTCCTCGAACGACGACGACGACGACGATGATTACGATATGTCGCCAAGCGGTGTACTGAATTCTGTCGCTTCGATCTTTACGTATTTCAGCTTCATGAATCCGTTGGGTTACAGTTTCTTCAGTCTCGCCGCGGCGCCGTTCGCCGCGATGGCAGCCGGCGTCCTCGGCGTCGCCGCGGTTGTCTTTCCGTGGGCGATTCCAAACGTCCTTGATCTCGGGCGTGCCACGAATCAGATGACGATCAGATTCAAACCGAATCTCGAAGAATTCGTCAGGCAAGCTGTACACAAGTACGATCGCCTGAACGAATGGAAGAGTCGGCGAAGGAAGCGCAGGAGATGAGTTGAATTCTAATTAATCTCGTATGTTTTCCTCGAGATTATTCGAAGCTACTTGGAATGTATTGCAAATCGTGTGTCTTGATCTTTGAATAGGTAGAAATCGTTGCATGAAGCTTGTATGAAGCAAGTATGGTTCTGCTAGAATTATTTTTAATTAGATTGGAGGTTATAGCGATCGTTCACGTCGTTTGTAGCGAATTAACAATGATGCATTATTAATAAGAGAAGCGTGGAGAAAAGCTAGCTAGTGGATTGCATTGCTATTTTAAAACGTGTAAATCATTAATAGAAAACATATTATCATAAATCAAGTTCGTGTGACTTTAACTTATTAAAGACGAGGCTTATTTCTTATGTTGAATATAATATAATTATGTGAAATAAATAATGAATAATACTTCTCTCTAATATTTGTTCCATTAAAAAATATGAAATAATTGACGATTATATTGCGCGATTATATTATTTGAATTAATCATATATTTTTCTACAATTTTAATAACTTTAAAAAGTAGCATTTACTAACAATTAAAGTAATAGTAATTATGCATAATGTAATTGCTTCTTATGACTATTAAATAATTACAAATTGAGCGATAACTAGTACAACTATTGAATATTAAAGCTTAATTCATTATTATAATTGTCATGTCTGTTATGTTTATATGTAGAATAATGGAACAGAGAGAATTACATTTTTATCGTATACATAAATTCTCTCATAGTAGAAATTTTTTTTTAAAGATAACTGATTATAATTTAATTTAATAATTAAAGCGTTCCCTGTTGTGTCGATACTTTAATATAAAGTTTACACTATTTCAGGACATTAACAGTATTTGTGCCAACAAATATGTAATATTAATAAACCTTTCAAAACAGAAATTATAATACCTTTTTATGGACAATTGTATAATTTCATGTGCCTTTATATACGTTCAAAAATATATGTGTCTATCTTTGCACCCATAATTTCCCCAAGTCCTATCCTATATTGTTATTAAAAATAAATAAAAAATATTTTATATTGAAACAAAATTATCAAAGTAAATATATTAATATAATACTACTCCACAAAAAAAATAGAAAACACTTCTCAGACGCTTCAAAATTAAGCAATTCTCAAACTTGCAATTCAACGAAAAATTATTGCGGACAAAAAAAAGCATCTAAAAATTAAAAATTTGTAGTTTTTACGTGCTTTAGACGGTTTTTCAACATTTTGTTATCTTCAGACTTCTAAGCTTGAAAGAAGAACACATTGTTTTATTCTTCAAATTACGTACATTCAACACTCTACAATTCGATAAAAAAATTTTTCTCATAAAATTTATAACAAGTGTCAAAAACTACAACATTTTACCTACAAAATGTGTTTTTTTTTTTTAATTTTGCTACGAATTTTTTGGCCGAGTTACGCAACTTTGAAATCAATCTTACATTTTGTGAAAAATAACGTTTGCCAGCAAATTAGCATTAGCGTGAAAAATAAAAATCTCTCAAAGTCACGTAACTCAGCTAAAAAAAAATCGTAGCAAAATTAAAAAAAAAACACGTTCCGTAGATAAAATATTATGGTTTGATATTTTTTTAACACTTGCATTAATTTTTCAAGAAAAATCTTTTTTATCGCTGCAGAGCTGCAGAGTGTTGAAAGTACTATGTTCTTTTTTCGCTCAAGATTGCAAAAATAAAAAATTTTTTAAAACAGCTTAAAGCACATGAAAGTACAGGTTTCGAGCTTTCAAATGCTTTTTTAATTTTGTGTCTACGATAATTTTTCGCCAAGTTACAGCGATTTGAAAATTGGTTAATTTTAAGCGCCTGAACGTCTCGACGCGACAAAGCAGTTGCAGCCGATTGGGTGCGCGCCATTAATACGGCATCGTGCGTATTAATGGCGCGCACTGTCAGTTATTCGCTACTTACCACGTCGAGACGCTCAAGCGCTTAAAATTGACCAATTTTCAAACCGCTGTAACTCGGCGAAAAATCATCGTAGACAAGAAATTAAAAAAGCATTTTAAAGCTTGAGACTTATACTTTTACATGCTTTACGCCGTTTTAAAAAAATTTTTTATTTTTGCAATCCTGAGCTTAAAAAAAAACACATTACTTTCAACACTGTGTAGTTTGATAAAAAAATTTTTTCCGCAAAGTTTAAAGCCAAGATTATATTTTGAAAAATAACGTTTATTATCAGCATTAGTATAAAACATACAGATTTAGCTTCAAAGTCGTGTAACTCAGCCAAAAAAAAAAAAAGTAGCAAAATTAAAAAAAAAACGCATTTTATAAGTAAATAATTGTAGTTTTTGACATTTGTCATAAATTTTGCAAAAAAATGTTTTATGGAACTGCAAAATATTGAACGTACATAATTTTAAGAACCAAATATGTTCTTTTTTGGAATTAGAAGTAAAAATATAAAAAATTGTTAAAAAACAATCTAACGCACGTGAAACTACAAATTTTAAACTTTAAGATGTTATTTTGTCTGCTATAATTTTTCGCTGAATTAGCGAATTTGAAAATTGTTCAATTTTGAGCGCCTAAATTATTTGATCGCTTCATTGTGAGATACTTGGATGTAATAATTTATTTTGAGTTATTGTTCAATTAGTTTACTCTGCATTATCTTTTCATTTTTATTTTATATATATATATATATATATATATATATATATATATATATATATATATATATATATGAGTGATGTGCTTGATAGCGATGACAATCATTTTGTTACTGTTACTATGCAAAAGATAAAGCCCTAGATATTGCATAGAAAAGGTAAGAATGTTTAACGTAACAGTTATGTGTAGATACTTCTATTTTTTTAATTCATCGAGATTGTACGTTTGATATAATAATATAAAAAATATTTCACTAAAATGAATAAATTGAAAAAAATCACAATTTATAATGTAATTACATTATTACAGAATGTTAATCTCTCGTAAAGTGCGATTAATTTGTATCTGTTATACGATTGTACTGTAACTGCATAATTTTTATGATGCCATGACTAATTTATAAATGTAATTCTTTAACAAAACTTATTCTTATTCCTCCACAAAATCTGACGGTGAATTTTATTTCAGCCGACCACAAAACAACAGCAAACGTGATTTGAAAGATCTACAATATATGGATCAGTCGCTGAGGACCGTCGCTACTCAACTTCTCAACGTCACGAATCCACAGGACGTGGTAAAAATGGACACGAAGGAGTTCACCAAGATCGAACACAGCGTCGCAACAACGCAGAAGAACGACGCGTCCTCGTTGGTTAAGGAAATCAACTCCGAAATAAGCAGTATGGAAAATATGGGCGTGAGTTTCGGCAGACCTATAAATTCGAAATTTAGCTACTTCGAGACCAGCCACCCTGGCGAAGCGATGGCGATGACGGAAGAGGAGCTCGAGCGGGAGATGAGCACGACGAGGTTGATTACCGCTCACAAAAATCAGCCGACGACCACTGGCGGTATCTCAACTTGGATCTTGCTGAATCCGCCGTCCACGACCGCGAAGAGCGTCGAGATGGAGAAAACGAAGATAAAGCCGCCCTTCCAGACGGAGGTTCGGCTAACGGTGAGACCGAGCTCGTCGAGCAACAAGGTTGAAACAGTTTTACAACCGGAAAAAATCGAGGAAAGCACTACGCCGCAGCTGACGTCTGTTATAACGACGGAGAAAGTAGCCGTGATCACGAAAAAGCCGACGTCGACGACGATAAAGAAAATCATTACCACGTCCACCTTGAGACCTGAAAAAGTCACTCCAAATTTAGAGAAGATAGAATCTTCTTCGAGCACGACTTTGAAGGCGACTCGCACCACAACTGCGAGCACGTCGGCGGAAACGAATGTCGACAGAACAGTCTCGGCGACAACGGCGCCCACGACGAAGAAGAATCAGACACCGCGAACCACTTCTAAGCCGAAGGTCACCACGCCGAGAGTGACCTCGCATTCCAAGTCAGGGACGAAGCCGACGAGAGCGGGTCAGCAGGGTAGACCGAAGCCCGCCACGACGAAAAGAACGACGGTGAAGCCTGAGGCAGCGAAGAACGAAACCACTACGTCGACCGGTAAGATCGAGAAGGTAACCTTCAAACCGGTGCCGATTATCGCGACCCCGCAGGACAAACCTGAGAATACGGAGAGGCCAATATTTGTCACTAAGATAAAGGCTTCGATGCTGATGGATACTCAGAAAACGCCGATCACCTTACCGCCAGCTACCACGGAAACCACCACTCTGAGCTCCACGTCGAATTTGTCCGGCGCGGATCTCATGGAAGTGCCGGTGAGATCGAAGCCGATCGGCACGAAAGTAAACAACGTACTAAAGGTGCAGTTGAAAAGTCCTGTGGACGAGACCACGCAGATCGAAATAGAGCCGATCAAGGTGAACGCGCCGATCTTGAAAATCGAGAAGGTCGACAAGGATAAGATAGATGAAATCGTAGAGAAAGACACGGATGACCTGAACAACTCTCCGATAGATCTGAAATTCGACTTTAATCCCGAACTGACGAGAATCAGCGTGGAAACGCAAACGGAAGCGGCTACAACGACATCGACGACGACGATGTCGAGCACGACAAAACGGCCGAGGCATAATTCTAAGAGAAAGAAGAACAAAAGTCGCAGACGCAAGCGACCGAGTTCGGCGGCGCCGAACTCGACGACAATCTCAACAACGATACCGGAAACCACCGAGAGCGTAACCGACCTCTCCGTCGAGGACAACGCGATTCAAGAGTCAAAGATCGCGCCCGAAACGAAGGTCGCGGCGAACGCGACGAAGAACAAGAAGAAGCAGCCGCAAAAGGCGATTAGCACGCAGATCTACAACTTTTTAAGCCGCGAAGTGATGCCAAGCTTCGGCGTAATGTCGCTGGTCGGTCTAGGCCTCGGTTTAGCCTCGTACTTCCTGTACCCCTTCGGCGGCACGATTTCCCGACGGAATTACGAAGTGGAACCGAATTACAAGTACAACATGGACGAGTACGGCGGTAATTACGGACAGAACGAGGAGGAGGTGTTGTCGAAAGTATTTCAAGGTATGACGAATCACGAGAACAAGTATCCGGGGACGAAGGATGTCGGCGGCAGCTATTATCATTATCAGCATTACGACGGCGCGTACGACGGCGCGCAAACGACGAAAAAAATTGACGCGCGATACCCGGTATCGGTGTCCACGTCACCGATTTACAGGACCGCGGAGAACACTCAGTCGGCGGTGAAGTATCGAAGTACGGATTTCCGGTATCCCGAGACGCAGACCACGCCGGTGTACTACGATCGCAAGCATCCGGATCTCGCGGAGGCGCCGGGCTCGGCGAACCGGCAGTTCGTGGTCGGTAACGTGCCGAAGGAGTACGCCGCGTACGATGTGAAAGCGGCCTCCGTGCCGATCGACAGCAAGAAAGGCGTCAGCTACGTATCGACCGAAGGCGGGCAGACGCAGTTCGAAAGGGACATCGCGCAAAGCTTGAATTTCCCGCCAAACTCGGCCGGCGTGCACAGTTACGGCGGCCACTTGGAAGCGACGACCGGCCGACCGGACGACGGTTACGAGGAGATCGAGATTACGCCGACCGCGGTGGCCGTCGAGCACGGACCGCGGTCTCTCAAGGTGAAACGGGCGGCCGTTACCGACGGTGGGGATCGGCACTCGAGATCGAAGCGAGAATCGGTAATACAGGTGATACCGTCGAAGCACGAACTGCAATTGGAGCGCGAGGAGGAGGAGAAGGAGGAGGACTTGAGCAACGAAATTCTAGACATCATCGACTCAGCTCTGCCGGCCGGACAGGCAACGAAGCACAGCGGCGAGAACAACGAGGTGGAGGATCTCGAGGGACAGCGGAGAAAGCAGCATGAAGAAGCTAATACGCATGCGAAAGAGTCCACTACGTCGACTTTTACCACCGCGAAGCACGCAGAAAACACGGAGGAGACGACGAGCAGCCCCGAAAGCGCGGATTCCACTTTCAAGACCACTCACGAGAAGATGAGCGACGACCCCTTCGGTTCGAGCACCCCTTCCGGAAATGCCGATGGCACGGAAACGCATTCGACGAGTACAACGTCGAGCCCGAAGGACGCCGAGGCGACGACCGTCGACTGGTTCGAGAGCTCGACCACGAAGAAGCCCGCGGAGGGCTTCAGTCTGTACAACTTCGTGAAAAAAGTAGCGGAGATCAAATTCCGACTGGGCCTGACGATCCTCAAGCACGCCAGCGAGGGCTTCGCGCGATATCTGGGTCACGTGCAGAAGAGAATCAACGGCGAGGAGTAAGGGCGCGCGGCGCACCGCGCGAAAACTCTTCAGGAGTTAACGACGATAACTTTAACTGACGACGGAAGTTTCGCGATAATAATGCGCTCCAATCGCGTTCTTCGATACGCTATGATGGACATATACGGCGCGTATTCGGTACAACATCGTCCGGCCGGGATAACGGCAGGTGGCGCAATAACCACCGTAATCCCGAAGAGCGCGATAACCTCGTAACGGTAGTCGGGGAACGCGAAGAAGCGGTTTCTTCTTCACGGGCCTCTTCACGGTTGATTCGAGCCACGATTTCACGGGGCGATCGTTACTTTTGTCCATCTGCGTCGCCGATAGCTGATCGTCCTTTCACTTAGAAAGCTAAAACGATAAAGAGGAACGCGAACTACTGTTACGTCGGCGAACGCATCTTCCCCTTCGAGGAACCGCCGTGAACACGTGATTGGTTATTTTTTTTTTTTCCTAGAACTTTCCGTCAATGCGCGAGGGATCGACGATCGGCGACAACGCGATGCGCTTCGATATTGGTTTGATTAACGTGACGAGCTCTTTAACGTTGATCTTCGGGTTCTCGCGGGTAGCAGAATGCACCTCGTCACGCGACATGGCGTGGTGAGGTGCATTCTAAAAATATATATATATTTTTTTTTTCAAAATCAGAACGACTGAGATAGCGCGGGATTGGTGAGGGGTTTCGAGAGATTTCTCTCTCTTCCAGGATCGGATTAGATTTTTATTGAGAATTCGCTTAATCTCTCTACAATTGTTTGGTATGCGTGCTACTCTCTTTCCCTCTCGCCGGAAAGCGAGCGAAGACGTACGGAGAAGCTGATTATTGGGCAACTTATATATTGTAAAGTACACTATATATAAATAAATAAATAGTTGAACGAATAAATAAATAAATAAGTATGCAACTCTATGTAATACCCTGATATGCCTTGTGTAAATAAATATCAGAGATTGCGAACGCCTGTTTCTTTTATGCCATGCAAATGCGTTATGATAAAATGCTTATCTTATTACATTTTTGAAAGAGAAGTTATCGTGATTACACTGATTACTGTAAATTTTATCTGTAAACAGTTTAAACTCATTAAACTGGAAGCAAATTCGACGATTTATGTAATATAATTAAATTGACGATCAACGTTTTATTAATTAGTTCTTATCATAAAACAAATCGCAAATTTACATCCATCGACGCGAGATATAACGATGTTTCGCGAACTTGATAAATAGATCATAAATTATTCATGCATGGCAATAAAAGTTGGAACAAATCATATTTACTTTTGCGCAACCACGATTAATTAATGCGATAATGGATAAATATTTTAATGATTTTATAACACTCTGGAAATTATTTTTTTGCAGTTATGATATGCCTTTTGCTCCTAACTTTGCATTTCTTTCGATATCTACGAGAACAGCAACAGGTGATTGTCCCTAAATCGATTGTACTTACATGCTCGCCTATATTATTACGGACGGCGATACATGAATTATTCAATAACGTATTCAGTATTAATATATCTACGATCTAAATGATTATAATGTAGATTTGCAAAAGGTAAATGCATTAAGTCCGGCGTGCGTAATTAAAAGTTCTAGGTTTTTGTAATTCAGTTTTTATAGCTGAAATGGATGATTTCTATGGAGACAAAAATCTATAAATGCCAATAATACTGTCGCGTCATGCTAGACGTACGATTTAAGCTATACTTACACATTTAGCGACGCGGAGACAGACGAGTAACCGGCGCAAAACTGTCCGATTTCTGGGCGAATTGTTCGGTATCACTTCCGCTTCTGGACTTCTGATATTTTATCCCGCGTTTGAAACTTCAACGTCATTCGCACATGTCGCGCGCTTAGTCTCTCCTCTTCTGCATCGCCGTTAACGAGTTCTTCGAGTGACGAACGAATTCTGCTATCTTAATTTACCGGCCTATGATCGCAATGCTCTTCTTTGTCGCGCATCGTACTCTCTCACGAGCTTACGCAGATCTACTTCGGGGCCGTTGGGCTTTTTCAGAGCGTACTCCATCGGTCTCAGGTCTCTCTTTCGACGACCCAGAATCATCGGTATCATCATTGCCACTGTCGCCGGCAGCATACCTGTCGTCACACAGGTATGATAATTATAAACAAAATTAATTCTTAAACAAATACATTAACATCGCACAGTTTAAACTCGAAACACATATATTATGCAATTTTGACTTCAATTTATTTTGTAAGGTTAAGTATAATCGATAAAATTCTATAACGATATGCGGCTCACGAAAGCGCAAGGTCAAAATTTAACCTTTAAAACTGTTACGTCAAAAAAATAAAAGTACCATCAATTTTATATTATACTTTCAAAATTAAAGTATATTATTAAAATTTTAATAAGAACGTGAAAAATTATATTCAGCGCTTAACATATTTTTTATTTCAAGTTAATTTGTTACAGTCGTACCTGCTCCGACCGCTGCCAGGACTGCCGAATTCGACGGTTGTACGAGAGTTGACAGAGTGTTCCGGATTGGTCTTTTCTTCTGGATATTTGATTCGGTCGTCAATCCCATCTCGTACTCCTTGCGACTCTGATCGACGCTCTTGAACGTCTTCTCGACTTCCAGAAGACCGCCGTGGGAGGTCGTCGTGTTCGTGCCGTTGATTGACGGCAACACCGTCAATCTGACCTAGGTAAACGATCTTTCATAAAGCAACCGTCGGACAAATTTCGAATTTACTAATAATAATTAACCTAATAATAATTAAGTGAGTTTGAAACAGCCGGCGAATAGTATTATCGTAACTTTGAAGCTTCGTCTTGAAACTTTAATCAAGTGAGATTAAATTTATTAATTAAGAAAACTGTTCGACCTTCTTTGATCCTGCTCGAGGTGTTACTCTAAAATAAATTTTCATCTCTCTTTGATCACCTGGCGTCTCGAGGTCATCACAGATGTCGCAGGATTATTCTCCCGCCGATTCCCGCTCGCGTGATCCGTTGTGTTGATCTCCGAATTTATCGTGTCGATCTTGATCGATCTCTGTCGCGACTTGGAATATCCTCTGTTCGTCGACAGGAGGATCCACTGACCGTCGCCGCTCGCCGGATGACTCGGCGGATGATTGTTTACGTACTGATAATGCGAGAAGTTCGGTCTCTCGGTGATTAACGTGGGTCGGGGTCGATCCTGCTCGTATCTCGACGGAAAATCGTGCCAATTGCTTCCGTCTCCCGCTTGATCCTTGTCTGAGAACCTGTCGATAAACTGATACGAGGTCTGAGGCCGGGACCAAGTGTTGGGGAAGTTTGCCGGCTTGTCGTCCGTGATAATATCGCTGTTGGGACGATGAGGGTCGTGCTTGTTCCAAGACGGCCTCTCAGGCGGCCACTTCTGCGCCTGGTTAGACGCGTCGTCGTCGGTGTAATAAGGAGGACGGGAAATCGGTTTTTGCCACGGCTTCTCGCTGCTTTCGGGCCAGCTGGGTTTCGGCTTGTCGTACCTAAGATTCGATTATTCGTTTTGTATTTGTATCTAAACATTTTTCGCGCGGTACAAAGTAATAAATGTGTTTGAATAAACATTTAATAATGATTTTATCTCAAAAATTACAACTTAATAAAAAATTAATAATGCTCTTAACAAACAAGAAAGCTGACCTGCGCACTTTTTTGCATAAAAAAATGTTGCCATAAATTTGCGAGAGTTTTAAATATGTATATTTCTTGGCTATTTGCGCGGCGCGATGAAACAAGGCACTGCCAGGAGCTACTTTGCAAACTCAATTGCGAGAAAGAAAGTTTCAATTGTACGCTAATAGTAAATATCTCTCATCATAAGCGCAAAGCTCATTTTCGAGTTGCATATAATTTCCCGTAGTGAAAGGAAAATTAGCAGTTGTCGTACTTACCACGGTTTGTTGTTTTCATAAGTGGGTCTGATGGTATAATCAGTGGTCCATGGTTTTATGCTCGGTTTATCCCATGGTTTTAACTCCGGCCAAGGTCGTTGCGTGCTGGGATTGGCTTGCCACTTGGAAATTTTGCTTTTAGACCACGGGATCGCTTCCAGCGTTACCCAGCCGTTTCTGTCTTCGTAATTGTTTGTACCGTAGTATTTGTTTCTCTTCAAGGTGTCATTTAGTGCCTCGCTCAGCTGAATTAATAAAGATACAGTATTATTACATTATTATTCGACTACTTCAGGATAATATTGGCAAAAGACGTAAATTTTTAAATTATCTTCTTTCTAGAATATTATCTTTCTAATGACTCCCTACTTTTTCATTTATAAGCATGAAAAAAAAAAAATTATTTTATCCAAGACATATTTTTCTCACCGCGTCCTCTATTGAAGTGCCATTTGCAGTCTGATCAAATTTTTCGCTTTGGATGCTCGCATTTCTGATACTCTCGTCGTCGACTTCGAGGACAAGCGGTTCCGGGGGTGGTTTCACGATTCTAAAAGGATACTTGAAATCTCTCTCAGTGGTGGTCTTTATTTTGTTCGCGTAGTCCTCGAGGAACTTGTTCAGCACGTCTGGATTGAAAGTGGAAGTTTCGACAAAAGAATTCCTCCGATTGTAGTTGTCATTGGATATCGTTTTGATCTTCCTCTCGTCCTCCGCCTGATGCTCATTTCCCGCGTACAACGGATTCGGCGTGATTGCTATTGGCTCTTGCAGAATTCTCAAACTATCGGTCTTCGTTTTGAACATATCGGATGCGTTCGTCCGCATTTTCACGAAGTACCTCGTGCTGCACTGCGATCCTTCTAACGCCAAAATTATTAGGAGCAGACATAGCGCTCCTCTCGGCGTCATCTGAAACACGAAGAGTTTTATTTCGTCGACGCGACTTTATTAACGAAATCAAATCTCCGCTTTTATTGACTATCGATTCTCGCGAATCTGCCTCGCAACACTGCTAGTTTTTGCTTGTGCAATTTATACGATTTTATTTTTTATGAATAAAAAGAGTGCCAAATGTAAAAATTATAATCAGACATCATCCTAGAAAGGCATACGAAAAGACTGAAAACTGGATGACATAAAAATTGGATGACAAGTGAAACCACGATGATTTCAGAATCTCAGAGAGGTGATTGGAAAATTGCAATTCGCTGAAAAATCACTCTTGTCGCTCAGGTCGAAACGCCCACTGTGTAACTTCACACTTCGTTTACTCGATTCTGTGGAATTATTTTACAATTGTGTCGCGTATAGCCGTCGTAGGAGTACTATGTGATACTATAATCCGCGTGCGTCGCACTGACCGTGTCGATATTACTCGTCCGAGTCGCCTTCAATTACATGAACAGTGAGGCCCGCGCGCTGCCGCTTGTCACTTCCAGAGGCCCGTTACGGTGCGCAATGCGCGCCGGCAGCAACAACAAGAACAACAACGGCAACAATAACAACCGAGCGACGTTACGAATGGAAAAGCGGAAGTGGAGTGCGTCGCGGCCTCGACTCCTCAAGGTCCGAGATGGCTCTGTTGCCGAGACGTTGCCCTCGTTTGCTTTTAATCCAGATCCCCACTTCGTCGGTGGTTGGTCCATTTTGCATCTTCCTCCGATCCTTGCAGCCGTTGTACTCCGTTCTTACCTCCTCGGCTTGGTCAACCTGGAGAACGGGCGCCACATTGTCTCTCCTTCTCTTCGCGCGTGTCTCTTTTTCTCTCTCTCTCTCTCTCCGCCGACGCGATTGCTCCCTCTCGCTCCAGCCGCTATCGCTGCAGCGAGGTTCTTCGCGGGTCTTTCTCTTTCTTCCTGTATAACGATCGTTCGTGGAAACACAATGGACACAATGAGAGGCGAGGTCAGTCGCCGGCTACGATCAATGATCGATGAGATCGAGTTCACCCGTCGCTGGCCTCCGACAAGTGAATGATGCCTGTATTTTTGCGAGAGGTACTGTTGGATGTTGTACGGGACCAGAATAGCGGTTTCCAAGGTATCCGCTGTTCTAGCAGCTTCGCAGACAGTTGATATACAAATTTCATATCTTCGCAGGTTATTTATTTGGAAAGTTATTGCTTCCGTGTAAAATTCCGTCGAGACAACAAGTGTTAAGCGATTGGAGAAATAATGAAGATGGAAAGTTCTTCAAACGACGTTGTTATTAAAAAAGTATCTAGTAAGACGAGTTAGCATGTGTCACACATCACGTTGCAGAATTGCAAAGTGTGTAAAAAATTTGGCGAACAAATAATCATCATTCTTTCGTAATATCTTTCGAGAACTTTGTGACACATTAAACTTGTTGAAAATCGTGCGCATCGAATAGTCTACGAATTCGATGCTGCATTTATTTGTCGGCGGCAAAGAACGTTCTTAGTCATGCCCATGTTTTTCTCTCATCGCAATAACTTCCGTTATTAACAAACCCGCAAGCCGCTTACACGCTAAAACAATCACTTCAACGAGTTATTTACAATGCGCTTTCTCACTTATCAGCATCTCTAATCAGGCATACTTACAACGCGCGAAAAATCTAGCCAGCAATTCGAGATGCGTCTGAACGAGGAGCAGCGGAACGATCGTTCGCGAAGCTCTCTTCGATCATAGCGGCGGTTTAATCGCCGCTTGTCGGAATTGTTCCCGCTGCCTCGGCAGCGCGAGCAATCGCTTAGAGGATAAAGACACCAGTCGTGATTGACCGAGAAAGCCGAGGTGGCGCGAAGCCGATCGCCGATCGTTCTCACCGCTAATTACACTCACATCGTCGCCCGTCGTCTTTTTCCTACCGGACTATTCGGAAATCGTAATCGCTACGCGACAACGGAAGACGACGACAATAAGAAACAGACCCAGACCGCTCGTCACGCGCTAATTGCAACGCGCTCGTGACAATCAGCCCGGGTGACGACACGACGCGGCGCGAATCCGCTCTTCCCTAGTCGCGCCCGTCGCTCTTTCACGGTACCGCTCACCGACTCTGATGGGTGACGGTGTCATTTTCACGTGGATTTTACCTTTTGTCAAAATGCTACTTTCACCGTTTAAATGCGACGGAACCGCGACTCCGCGGGACGACGATGGGTTGCTCTCTCTTTTAGCCGCGGCCTTCTCTAGGCGCGGCCTTAGAGAAGTTTCGGCTGCCGCAGAGAGATCGAGTATGGAAATTGTTCTTTTGAAATCGATTTCTGGCGTTATTTGTCAGTAATGCGAATAAAATATAGGAAAGAATACATTGCTTTTAGTCAAGTTTCACGCGCGTGCGATTATCTCTTCCTATATTAATTGTAAAAATATAAAATCGGAAACTGGAAAGTTATATTGACAATTAATTTGTCAGCATAGATGTTTATCTATTGAAGTTAAATTAATTCTTTCATACAATTTATATTGCACGCAGTTAAATTATGATACTTGAAAATTAAGATCAAAAAATTACTATAATTATTATAATTATTGAATAATTTCACCGCAGTAATCTATACTAGCAAATATATATTGCTACAATCAACGGCTGGAAATATTTTCTCAATATATTTATTTATCGATATTTTGTACATATCCGCGCGCGCGCACGTCGCAATCATACGGGAAATGGAATTTCTGACTGAATAACCGCACAATTAAGGACATGCCGATATCGTGCGGCATAAAGGACAAAGAAGGCCGTCGTTGATTTTCATGCTCGGCAAATCGTCGATTTGGCCTTGTTCGGCGCTAAGGTGCTGCGGGATCGGATCGGCGAACAAACGTAGAATCGGTCGTTTACCGATTTTTGCGCTTTCGCGGCCCAGAAACCTCCGTCGTTTTTCTTGCTCGTGCCCTCTCCCCTTCCAGACCATCGCCGATGATGACTCTTGCTCGTCGCGAGCAAGTGAAACGCGTCTTAACAGTTTCCGTTTTACGAGCAGCTTCCGATTCTTCTGCCAGATTTTCACCGATCTAGGATTTTTTGCCCGGCGCCCGACCCAGAAACGGGCGATTTCTTTTCTCGTTCTATTGGCAGCTATTGCATTTCTGCCGATTTCCGCAGTACCTGCGCATTAGTTGGAGGAACACACATACACACATAGAAAAAATGCATCTACAACATCCATTCGAGAGCGATTATCTCTACAGATTCGTCTAGCTTTTATTACGAGCGATGAAATCGTGCGGATGAAATTTTCGGAATTGTAGAAACGCGATGGATTTTTCTACTTCCGATTCCGGTTGCGGCGCGGTCGGAGCTGGCCTACTCGAAACCGGAATTGGGTCGGCCTAGACGTAGCTAACCGCGAAAACGACTATGACGATGCTGAAAAAAGGAAGAATGGTCCGCGAGTGCAGCAAACGTCTACTTTCATTGTCGGTCATACCAGAGGAAGAGTCGCGATGATGAGAACGATAGGAGAGGAAATGGAAGGGGTGAAAAAGGTACCGCGATCTAGCCTACATGTTAGAGATCTCGACGCAATGACAGAAAGTTCCGAAGAAAGTAAGCAGATTAGCATCAAAGATAATTCACGGAAAAAGTAATACAAATCCGAAATTTCGAATTGCCTGTAGAAATAAGCATAATGAAAACTTTCATTATGAAAATCAAAAGAGAAATAGAAAGTTACATTATCAAAATTATCTTCGTTAAATTTCTTTTTTTTTTTGCGCAAATACTATTCTTCGGCATTATTTGTTTCTAAATCACGTCACTCATATTTGGATAATACACATGTTTTCGCGAGGGTTGTTGAAGAGCAAGCTTCGCGACTTAAGCTTTGCGATATTAAATTTTGTCAATAAATCTATTCATTTATTGATTTATTTTTCTTTACACAAATAGGAGACTAATTATGCAAAAAGGTATTCAAGTAATCTCTCTGTTTATAAAATTCGCAAATTCTGAAATATATCACGGAACACGTAAAACACATCGAAATGAAATAGGGTCAGACTCTCACCGCTCGGTAATAAAACTTGGCTTAGAAAGTCTTTTCACCCCTTCTGCTCTATTATTCAAGTACTACTGGAGCAAGAAATGTCTCTTACTTTACTTATGCAATTTAGCGAGTCGATACGCTTTGCTTCCATTTTTCTATCCAGCGTGCCAATTAAAATCTCCGAGTTTTTTTTTGTAAACATGTAACAAAAATAAAATTGACAAGTGAAAATAGAAAAACATACTATAAAAAATAAGAATAAAGAGAGAGAGAGAGAGAGAAAAAGAAACAATAATGAATATATTATCTGTTCTGATTAATTATTACTAATAATTGATTTTGTGTGAAATTGCTTTTCATCGTCGCGACGTGCCACGATGCACTCATCGAGCCTGCCTGAACTAAATGTCGTAGCGCTCACTTTGTCAACAACAATTGGTTTGCGGACGATGATTAAGGACGGTGTTTAAGAAATTGTTCTCACATTCACGCTTTTTAGAAAACGCCTTACTCTTGCCTTCGCGAGTTAAAGTCGCAGAACTTGGTGCCAAACGCTTTAGTCGCGGACTCCTTGCAATGGAAACAGCTGTTCTCGGTAGCAGCCGCTCATCGTCGCCACGCGCAGACACAATTCGCATTGATTGCTGATTTAATTGAACGATAAACATGTTGCGTAAGCCTTCCGAATGTCACTTCCTGCTGCTTCATCTTTTGATTGTTGGTCTTGCATGCGCGCGGATCGTCGAAGTGTCTGAAGTGACACGCGAGAAGAAAGTCTCCTCCGACGAGAGTCTTTCGGGGAATCAATATGCCGTTCGCGAGACGACGACAGTCGCGTCACTGAAAACGGTCACCGGCGGTAGTAATAGTCGGAAATTAACGTCGCCGATTGTCGAGCCTCTTCCTCGAAACGGTACCAGCGTCTTCAAGCCTAGCGTGCACTTAGGCGAGATCGAGCAACCGAAGCCTCGGACGAGTTTTCCCTTCAACAACGTGCCACACGTGAGATTCGAGGGTAACTTGGACAGTAACTTGCAGTATGAGCGATCCCAAGATGTTCTTCAGGACACGTATCAGGGCGTGTCCGGTCTGTTAGACGAGGCAACGCGACCGAGTCGAGTTAAGTTTCAGGACGACGGCGCGGTTCGAACGCCGAGTATCCATCATCCCTTCGACGTTCAGCAAGCCGTTACGGAGAGCACAGGATCGCAGGTCGAAGATGTCAAACACATGTTTATCGATCAAATGTACTTCCAAAATAGGCCGGAGATGCAGGATACGTCGGCGATTTTCGGAAAAGCGACCAAGTCTCCGTACCTCATCAGCTATCATGTCAGCAACAATCCGGGCGTTTATCAGCCGATGTCGCAGGAGATGTCGTTCGAGATGATGAAGAAGCCGGACAGCGACGACGTCTTGGTTGTTCAGCAAGAGTCCACTTATACGAGGAAGCACAAGTTTCCCTATCCGTTTTATCAACCAAGCAACGATTATATGCAATTTGTGGACGAGCCGCGCTATTCGCCTCATCTGCAAATGAGAAGGTGAGTGTGTACTTGTTGCAATCAGTAATCAATAGTAATATATATCACAATAATATCACAATAATATCGCAATTATTTATTTGATGATAAAAAATTTACAAATTTTTATATGCACCTAACAGAACAAATTTCTTTTTATTCATCTCTTATCTCTTTTCGAAATACGAAGCGAAAACTTCTCATTTACAGAATGTCTCCTTGGAAGAAGATTATTCATCTAATCGGTACTATTCTGCCGCTGGGTTTGCTATTGGCGACGCTAACGCCCAACGTCGTGCGGATTAATAATACAACGTGAGTCGCTCTTTTCCCTATTTTTCGTCTTTAATCACAAAGTCTATCCGCTCTATTTCTAATCAAGAATGAATTCTATTAGTCAGCCAAGCATTGTTCTCTCAAAACTACGAGCCGCTGATCTGCCGATCGAGCACAAGCAAGCTCGTTCGCTCGACGATGAATCATCGGCTGTTTGCGAGGACCGATCGATCTGTGAATTGATCTTGGCTGGCGGTGAACCGGAATCCAACATTCTGCAAAATATTCTTTGGAACTTGGCTACTAGGTAATTAAGTCCTTTAAATGTATTATTAAATTTTCGACAATTTTACATTGTTGACATATTCGTAATAATTAAAAAAAAAATTCATTTATTTTGGCAGAACTTCGGATAACGTCGCAAAAAGAAATGGTCTTCGTGAAGTTTTCGGCGCCGTGAAGAAAAAGAATTGTACGATGATCAACTGTTAATGATCAGCTTACAGCTACACAACAGTGTTCTCTTTACTTGTTCGTTGATTTATAGAGTTAATGTTTATACGTTAATTGTAAATTATTCGTGAAATAACGGCAGTACAAAAATCAATAAGATATAACTACAGTAAAAAAATTCTACTGATATATGAGTTGTAGTAAATAATTTCATCGTGTCTCAAATTAAAAAATCGTATTCGAAGAATAAGAGGAAAGTATTTTCTTTATCTCGTTATTTTGCAACAGTCTAGCTTTAATCATATATAAAACGTAATCTATTTTGTAATTTGACAATAACTGTTAATAAAAGCATGGCATCATCGTTAAATAAAAACGACTTTTTTGTCACTTATGAATATATTGCAGCAATTAATAACGTATGCAAACATTGAGCTCGAAACGGTGAAAGTTTCCGCAAAGCTAACAGATAAAAGATACGATAAAAAACTGGATTTTAAGAATGAAATACCAAGACAGAGTATGTTGTGGAAGGCATGTTGTTCGGAAATTCGTTCCGCCCGTGCATCCGTGCCGACCTCGTCCTCGCAAGTGAAAGTAGTCACTGGGATACAAGTAGGTCGGCGTTATTCTACGGCAGCGCGATCCGAGAATTTATGGATGCAACGGACTTTCGGACGACGGATAGCAGCTGACCAATTATTGCACGCGCCGTACATTACTGCTGACAATAATTACACGCGGGCGAACCGTAATAAGGCATGCCGCAATTTTTAATTAACAAGGTGCCGGCGAGTTAAAATGGATAATTTGACCGCTAAATGTAATAACGTGCGCCTGACGTTTATTAGCGCTTGATATTTATATTTCATAAATGTTTTACAAATGTTTTACACGTTTTACATCGTGTACTTCGTATTACAGATCGCGTTATGCTGGATATCATTTCTTAACACTTACAATTTTACATTGATTATTTTTAAACAAAAATATGGATCTCGATTAATTACATTAATAAGTAGAAGAGAAAAATAACTAAGCAAGTGAACATTTTTTAACCAAATAAATTTTGGCAAAATAATTATAATACATATAAATTATGTTATAAGAATATATAAATGCTAATCATTAGAAAGCTGTAACAAATGACGATTTCTCCTGAGATTTGCATTATAAAAAAAATGACGCCAAAAATTGATCGATGAATTTTGCACGAGAAAATAATACAGAAAGAATTCAACGAAGGACACTCTACGAAATTATTACTTTTGTCTATGTTTCATTGTTATTTGAAAATCTAATTCATATGTGTGCTTGCTATGTATAAAACTTAGTTTATAAAAAGAAAATGTATATACTGCAACTTTTATTTGCACTATGACATATGGAATACATTGCGGTTTCTTGAACGGTATCTACATGACAGTACATATTTGGAATGTTTTTGTCGCGCGCGCGGAACTCTTATGTGTATAATCATCATTATTATTTGATTATTTGTGTCACTTAAAATGTGTTATTTAATTGATGATAGTTGTACTACTTTTGTAGGTGACGCAGTAATCTATAGCGGCACTAAAAATCTCTCTCTCTCTCTCTCTCTCTCTCTCTCTCTCTCTCTCTAATACATAAAATAAATTGATATATTAATATAAGATATTTTACGTCAATATATCATATGCGGCGAAAGTCTACTTAAGATGTCAAGATATATATTGATAAGAGGATAATTGGCAATTAAGAGAAACAAGTATAGTAAAGACGAATGCCGGATAGGAATCGGATTTCGGGTCGTGACGAACCACTGTTTCTCCATTTTCACTTTAGGAATGCAAGAAAGCATCGAGTTGCGTTGATAACCAGTTGGCGCAGTCAAATCAATTAACGACATAAAAATACGGTGAGAATATTATACCCAAAAAATCTGAACTTATACAATGAAGGGAACATTTCTTGTTCTTCGTGCAAAAAGAAATCTGTTTTCCAATGTCGGTCTATTCATGAAAATTGATTTAACTTACTTATTGAACAAAAGTCATTGAATCATACTTTTATATCTTTTATATTTCGAGACACGAGAACCAGCTTGTAAAAAAGGCTATTTAATGTGACATATAATTTATTAAAATGCATTGCAATGCTGTAAAGGCATTGAAATAAATCTTCACATTTTTTTATCATACAGATATACTTATGCGTACGAAAACTGGTAAACATTTTGATATTCTATTTCGCTAATTTATATCATTATTATAAGTTTAGCGACTTTTTTAATTGTCTGCGTTATTTTACGCTCGTTAACCCTAATATTATTCATTCTACTTACTTGTCATTTATTTCTGCTCGCGGCAGAGAATTTTTTCCAGCGAACGAGTCTCCAAAAATAAAACGTCGCCAGACGATATTTGCGGAGTTCAATAACGTTGGCTTTAAATCGTCTGGATCTGAACAATTTCAAGGACAATTAGGAGGACCAGGAAATTGATGGGTCTCGCTTCGTTCCTGAAATACGAAAGCCGTAGTCGCCGGCATCGAAAGTGAGCCACTTTTTACGCCGGTGCTACTTCTGAGCGCGGCGAGTCGTCGTTTCAAGCACAGTTGAGCAACGAGATCGCTCGTAAAACGGAAGAGCGCGCGTTTCCGCCGCATCCGCGACAAATGTTTCCGCGCAATGGTCTTCGACACTTTTCACGTCCGCGGAAATGGGGGCGCCAATGAGAACGTCACGTCGCTCCTAGAAGTGAAATACAATGGAGAGGCGGCACGTTCCGCGTTCCGGAAAACAAACGCGAATAAATAGGCGTGCATCGAGTTTTTCTGCATCCGTCAACAAGTCCTCTTTTAACGGTATTGTGTGTAAAGAAAAACTTTCACCGTTTCTTCTCATGATCTGAATACTCCTGTAATCTTCGCTGAGATTCGCTAGGTAGATTAGCAGCCCGCCGATCAATGCATCGCGGTGGAAAATGCAAAAGCACGGCTTGTTTGTCGGCTGTCAAATGCTCAATCGCATTTGACGTTAATAACACCTGTATCTCGACGAAATCTAAGAATACGATACGTCGTTTCACTCGGCGGTTTGACGCGACAATTTCACGCTATTTCTACGCTCAGAAAATGTCAGATAACGCAACGTGTAGAGGCACATCTTTCTCTCCGAGGAGAGATCGCGTTGCGAACAATTAAATCGTACAGTCGGCGAGAATAATTATGCCAGCGCGACGATACATGATGCGATAACAATCGTGTTCGTTAAAGGGATTCATTAAGACTCCTTAATTTTTCAACAATAAGCGTCGTAAATAATCTCAATTTCGCTTTTGACAAGAAAGAAGCTTTCCGCGAAAGATACGGAAGAGTACTATTTAGTATAATTATATAAATTTTCTGGGACATCCTGTGTACATTCAGCTTTCACGGTTTTACACTTGAACCTGTCCGCTTTACGACACTGTTAGATAGAAGATAAATATTATACGATGGCATGCCTATCGCGTAATGTGCAAGTCGCCGTTTATCATGAACGCTTCTCGGCTTCCTCGTTGTGTTCGAATGCACGGTTAAACGCAACGACTAAAACGCCCGACGCGTTCTGCACGGCTCTTTTAATATCATAAGTTTCACCACACGGCGGAAGTGATGCGGCCCGTATTGTGAAAGCGCATATCGCGATACATGCGAATAGCGAGCTTATTTGTACGGATGATCATGCACAAGGATTGCCGCCGATCTTTCTCGATTCGAGCCATCAATTTCCGCAAACTATGAGACCAATTCGATATCTAAAAAGAAAAAGTGGTTTTTTATTTCTTTCCGAAGAGAGCAAATTTCTTTTCAAATATGTAAGATTTAAAAAATTTAATTTTTTGTTGAATATAAAATAGACAATTGATCTTTTAATGTTTAACTTATCCAAGTTCTTGACTGCTGAAAATTTTTGTCGCAACGCGCAAACGTACGTGGGATGTTCGCGACAGCGACACGTGGGTTCGTCTTCGAGGTATGTCAAGGAAAACGAGTAGAGATGTCGAACGATATTGGAAAACGTCACGAGCAAAACCTTCGCGCATCGCAATGTGCAAGGGTACACGTATGTGCATCCAACGTGATTAATGCCGAACAATTTCGCCGATCGCAAGCACAGCGTTATATTTAGAGGACGACGGAGGTCCTCGAAAATCAAAAGCAAGGCGAGAATTAAGAGAAATTTGTAAGATCGATACGATCTGATAAAATTGAAAAAGTTTCGCATGGCGTGCGCGTATGAAAAAAGTTTTTTTCGTCACAAACAGACGTTCCGAGGTCGCCGGCGCATCAAAATCCATTGAAACCGAAGGATGCAAATTACGGGAACCTTGTGCGAGTTTTTAGATGGTCAAGCGGATTTTTAAGATCAAGATTTACGTTAATTGAGTCGTGAATTCACTAAATAATAAATTGGCTACGTTCATTTTTGTAAACAATTTTTTTTCTAAACAGCTGCATTCCAACGATGCTGTGTTTCTTAATAATTTCCATAAATTTCATAAATTTATCATTATTTTATTATTTACAACTTACTGCCTATATCAACCAAAAAATTTTGGTATAAGATTCAGTTAATCAACAATTATTTATTATCTCTCTCTCTCTCTCTAAATTATTATCTTGCAGCAATCCTATCGATAATAATTTTATAAAGCTTTTATGATGTGAAAAGAACTTCTTTTCAAACTATTAATTAGTATCGCCCGTCGAGCTTAAAATATGAAGAAAGTGGTACATCTAATTTACAAGTTGTCGGACGAAAATGAGTTTAAATGCGCGGGACCACTTTGCTTTTCAAAAGAGACTCAATTAGTCGGCGGACATCTCATACTTTCAAATGTTTGCTTCGAATTTCCATAAGGCGCGCTAAAAGCTAGATGTTAATCTCACGAAGCTGAAAAAGAGAAACTGGTTACATGATTTGTACACGGCCGTGGACCACGCTTGGAACTTCTCTCCTCGCTTATCGTAATTAAATATACGTCCCACCTGCTGAGAAACGCTGAAATAATGACATCAAGCATATATCTAAATCATGTCATGATTGTCTGTAATCTGACAAAAATTATCCACAGAGACGTAGACACGAATCTTTTTTTATCGATACATTTAGCCTTGTAACAGTCTAAAAATTTCCTAGTTAATAAATAGTAGATAGTGAAATAAACATCACTCAAAAAAATATTTCGCTGATGTAGTTAGATTTCTAGATATCGCAACAAGAATGTATCGCTATTTTTCGTATCTGTAAAAACATTGTTTGTCACATATAGAATTTATAGCAGTAATGTTCTAGCAATAGCTTCTGAAAAATTTAGGTACCATTGCTAAATGTTATTCATTGCATGATCTAACACGTGATTGATCTTATATAGATAGGCGCTTTAGAGAAACTTTCTTTTTAAAGTTCACAAACAATACAGATATATATTCTGTTTCTGTCATCTAAACTGATTAAGTAATTACATATGCAATATCACAACAGTTGCTAATCATTTATCTGTTTTAGTTAATTTTTTACACCTAGAAAATTTTAGCTATTATTGCAAGACCATTTTTTTGAGTGATGAGCGACGCTAAATTACGTGTCCATTAATTAGTAATATCCAGAGAAAGATGATTATAAATATGTGGCGAGTGTGTGGGAGGGGAAGGGAGGGAGGGGGGGGGAGAGATCGATGCACGCGTTTATTCAATTGCAATAAGTGCAGACCACGATAATACGCTGTATTAGTCACGTGCTGCATTCAAGGGAACTGCAATTTCTCTCTTTCTCCTCGCGCGTTTATGCGTTACTATGGGCCACACTTACCTACTGATCCATATTACTCGCGGCGATACTCAAGCTACGTGAGAAATTGAAAGATATAAATCCTTCGGAAGATCTATCTTGGGAGCCTATTAATATTACATATTCATTAATTTCATACCTTTTCTGCAGGATTAATTCAAATTTGAACTTTTTGTCGAAGGATCTATTTATATAAATACGTAAACCTTAATCCGGCTTTTTATTAATTATTGAAAGCGTTAATTTTGTAATTAGTTATATTATTAATTATGATTATGTCCAGGAAATGATTTTTTCGACTTGCAAAATACTTTTCTATTCAATTTGAGCGCGAAATGTCTAGAATTTTAGAGAGAAAAGATTGAATCTAACAATTTTTCTATCATATGCCACATATAATTAGTTCGTAAATTTGAAAATCCAAAAAATGTTTACAATTTTTAAAAATTTATTACAAAATAATGATATTATTTTTGTAATGAAAAAGAGCAAATAGCAACAATAGAAAATCTTACAAAAAATGCTACGATCGTGTGTTATTCTTGAAGTAATTTGAAAGAATTTATGTATATTGGAAAAAGGAGGAATTACGAGGAATTATCGATTTAAAGAGTAAAAGAAATCAAAGAGATTCTGTCGGAAGAAGGGAACACGTAGTACTTGCGGTGTAGAATAGGACATTACACAGGTGTGCATCGCCGTCGTCATTAAACCGATCGACTTTCACTGGCGGGTCTCTGAACTCGCTGCGGCCTCTCGTGAATACCATCTCTTCCGGTTCGCCCCGAACCGACCCGCCGTTCGTGAACTTGAAAATTAAACCGGCTGCTACGTCGACGACGTTTCATGCGTCTCAGGAATCGCGCGATAAAGATCTGTGCCTGATAATTAAAATTCGCTTGCACGAAAGAAATGCCATGGCTGACAATGGAACACTGACATGTGTGCAACACTTAATAACTACTTGTACTGCTGCTTTTCTGACGAGTCATTTCAAATACGACGGAAAAGGCAACCACACATATTTGACACGATTTATTTATAAGCAAGTAAAAGAGAATAATTTATAACGTTTCTGAAATCTGCAGTGTGAAACACTCTATGCGCAATATTTTAAATTGTAGCATAACATTTATTTATAAAACTGAAAATGTAAAGTGTATCAAGTGAAAGATTGAACTAGAAATGTTTGAAACAGTGGCATGCGAAGGTCTTCATTAAGAAAATTGCTGTGAAATGTTCATCTATAATTTTGTTCCACTCTGCTCATCGAGATAATAATTAGATGATATCTCCATAGTAAGACTCGCTATAACAACAGACTAATTTAGAGAGACAAAACCTCAATAATGGTAGCAGCCGCTAAAGAAAGGTTATACTTAAATATAGAAAAACGCTTGGCAAATTGAGAATAAAAATGCTGACAATGTTCTAATAAAATCCAGAAACTTAAAATTTTAGAAGTCACAAAAAGTAAAAATGAAAATATTTAAGGATTCGAGATCAAAGATAAAAGCCAAACTCGTAAAAGATGGCAAAACGCCAAATCTACGGAGTTATAAATTCATAGATGGACAAATAGATTTTTAAATGTGGACTACAATACTGTATATATAAATAGATTATAAATCCAAGAACGCGAAAGTTTCATAATTTAGAAAGATTTATGACACAGCTTGTAAGAACTTCAAGTTCGAGAACACGTGAAATGAAAGCGGTGCAAAGTTGAGAAATGAAGCGCGAAATATGAGTACCGAGAAAGTATTAAGAGAAGAAACTGGAGATATAAAGATGTAATGACGTGGCCCAATCGTCGTTCTGAATGTGCAAATTTTTCTTGCAATGGCCGAGTAATTGGAACAAACGGAAGTATCGCATTATGCCCACAAATTAATTTCGTCACGGCATAAATAAAAGTTGCATTAATTTGCAGAGGATCATGACAGGGGCTCCTTTTTGTTTTTCCGCCGATGACGCGTTTCTCCATGCAATACAGTCACTCTATCAATAAGATATTTTCGCTAATTTATAGCGTTCTTTCAAAAGTTGTCTAGATAGCATAATAAATTTTCTCGTTGACAAAAAAAATGTGCTTTTGACATTTAAACCAAGAACTAAAATTTGCATAGAAACTATAAATTAAATACAGATTGATTCTTTTTCATAATATGAGAAAATAAGATAAGAGAGTTTCGAATGATTTCAGTTCTAAACTCATAAAAAGAAGAGAAAAAATTCTCTGAAATGAAAACGCGACATCTTTTTATTAACTATGGCGTTATTTTCTCCTCCATTAACGCTTCTCACGCTTTGTATCGTGTACAGAAACTGTGTACTCTTTACTGCAGGAAGTTCCTGCAAAGTGTTACTAACAGCTTTAATTACGTGTACATTCTTTTAAATATCGCGAATAAATTGATAAATACAAAAGTGGAGAAAGAGAGCGACTCCGGAAACGTGAACTTTGTTAATAGTTTATGTAATGAACTAATTAATACTAATGATAAGAAAATATTAATAACAAGCTAATCATTATTTCAATTATCCCCGGATGTTTCCCCGCAATTTCACGGACATTTAACCTTAAGAAAAGGATTTGTGCCCGGAAGGATTAAGCGAGGACGTCTCGCGTCGCTACGGAAGAAGGCGAAGGCGGGCGCGAGAAGTAGGTCGGAGAGAAGTCTCGCTCCTACGTCGGTCGGGCGCACGAGGAGCCGCCGGCTGAGCGCCGCCGTCAGTCTCGCGAAGATATTCCGGGAGTCAACAGGTGTGCAGGAGCACGGCCTCCGGAGAGACGTCGTCTCCTCTTTTCTTTTCTCTCTCTTCCCCGCTGCTCTTGCCTCTTCCCGTTACAAATCGACAGGGATCTTTGATTTTGGATTTCCCAATTCGCAACGGCGACCGGTGATTTTCGCGGATCATGCGGTCCTGAGGATAATTCTTCGCCGCCCCGGATTACGCATTTCTCTCCGCTCTTCTGTAATTTTTACTTTTCCCGGAGATTTTGCCAGGAGGAAACTCAGAAGACATGGCGACAATAAGAAGATGCCAGGTAATTCTTATTTTCATTTTTAAACATCGATAGATATACGTTTAACGCATGCTTGGAATGACGCGATTTGTAGGAAGTATGAGACTTAAACGAAAAGCAATATGTAAAAAAGAATTGAGTAAAGCAGATTTTGTCGGAAATTTTTGGGTTTTATGTTTTACTAAATTCTATTATTTTATAGTGAAAAATTAATGTTATTCTTCATTGTTAAATATTAAAAGATATATAGTTAATCGATGCGTATTTTAGAGTAAAAATTTACTTTATAAATTAATTCCTTTTCTCGTTTTGCCAACATCAGCTATGCATTTATTTCCACGAATAATACAGGATGTTAATCTTTTTACGTAATCTCTTTTCTCTCGTGAATAAGAGCCTAATAAGACTAAAATCAATTTACACAATTAATTAACTTAAAAGGAATGCGGATAGGTCGCCTCTCTTCCATTGATTACGTAAATATACAGGTACGCGGCTTATCTTCACTCACGATCGGCGTAATAACGCGCGCGCGAACAGTGAACGATTCCGCACGGTCGATCACGGTCGATCACGGTTAATCTCGACCATCTCGCAGCACCCGTAATCGATCGGCACGCGTGACGAAAGCCGATCCGAATGATCGGCGATAAAACGTGGGCGGTTTTCCAAACGAGCGGACACGACAGACATCGGGGAAAAAAAACTAGATCGACTTAATTGCCGTGCAATTAACGTCGACCCATGGATTTTCTGGAGCGGAAACCGCGGGTGACATGCATCGGTGCCACGCTATCGTACTGTGTTTCCACCACTCACACATAATACACTGACCAAGTTTTGTGTCGCATAAACCGATGAAATTTTGTCTCTTAAACGCAAAGGTATTGTCGTGTAGATGATTTGATTTGAATTTAATTTTGCATTGCTTAATTATTAACTTTAAGATCTTAAATTCAGAAAAAAGAGTTTAAGTAAAAGGGACATAAACAAAAAGAACTATAAGCTAAAAATGTTGTTTAATAGCTGGAAACAAATATTTAATCATTTAATTATTAAACATCAAAATCCTTTAAATATATAAAAATAATTCTGGCTAAACTATTTTACATACATCAAGAATTCTAAATTTTTTAAATTTGTAATTTATTAAATTCTTGTTGTTAAAAGTATTTCTGAGACTAATTAAGTCAGACAACTTTTCAAGCCAATAGCTGACGGCTATTAAAATTAACATAAGTGTACCTCAATAAAGAACTGTCGGCTGCTTTGTCGCGTCGGGCATTAATAGTCGGACAATCGATGATCGAAAGTCACTCGAATGGAAAAAGTGGATCGTCTCGCGTACTTCGCGTTGACGTATATATGTACATATATATTGTACGACGCACCGGTCGTAGACGAGTTAACGTACGCGTGTTTCGTGCAAAGCGCGTGCATGGGGAAAGCATGTCGTTCCATTTCACTTGTCGGCGGTGCATGCTCGGTCCAGAGCCACCTTTCACGATTTTATTTCATTTTACCGGCTTTTTACGCGTACGCGCGCGATTAGAAAGTATTTTTTTCCACCGTAACACGTCGAACTTGCAGTGTACGGCGCCGGATGTTCAGTTGAGTTCTCGTTAATGAGGATCTAAATGAGGTCTAAACGGTTATTAAAAGTTGTGCCCTAAATGCTAACAATATATTCGCCAAAAAGAGATGACTAGCGGAATTTTATGAATAATCAATACAGTGCGCTGATTTTGAGAAAAAAAATTCTTTTTGCCGTCAGCTTGCTGATCTACATGTCCGGGTTCCTTTTTTACGTATTCCGTTATACTACTGTCATTTATTTTCGATGCGTCGCGTTCGCAGGATTTTATAATGCAATAATGAGTCAGCTGCGAATTATAGCGTAATCACACGACGGACAGGTGCGCGTAATTCCAATCAGGAGTAATCGTCACGTTTGATAATAGAAAGTAACCCGTTGCTCGGTTACTACATTGCTATTTTCTAGTCCCGGGGAAGAACGCCGACAATCTCCGCGAGCTATTAAATTTCTCTCGTCGCCGAGAGCTGTGCCGGCCATTGCCTGCCTCCGATGACTCGGCCGATTCACCCGTTACGAATATCGGAGATGCGGTTTCTTGCGAAAATTCAAGACAAAACGGCGCGTCCGCGCGACGTGACTACGAAACTTCGTAAACTAAGCGTCACGTTTGCCGGTTACTTTTCTGCACGTCGCGAATGTAAACGACGAGCGCAAATCGCAGGCGTATTGCGAGTTCCTAAGTACTCGTAAGGTCGACTTTCCAAGACCTTTTTAAACTCATTTCACATTCCAGGCACCTCCGTCTGTTCCTCAATCGTTGACGCACAATCACGCGTGTGCGCAACATCATATGCTCGCGTAAGAATTACCACGCTCAATGCCTTTGATCGAGCGTCCTGTCACCACGCGTCGCTGATATTATCAGACAATTGAAATTGTATGTAAATTTCAGAAAATTTTGCAATCTAGAATAACATTTCATTTCTTTCCCTTTGAATTTCATCTGTCTTATGTCACAGTCATTATTGTCACAGTCGTCACACTTGAAAGGAGAAATTTTCTACTTGAAAGCTGCGGTGTAAAAATCCCTGCGAATTTTTTTATTCTCTAAAAGATATAATTTTGTCAGAAATTTCGAAGAGTTATATTGTTTTATTTTCTTTTATTTCAGATTATTTCTCTTTTCTCGCTCACTATCTTGGCGCTCGGCGCATGCAGTGGCGAGCTACCAAAACCGGGCTACACCAGGACGATGTTGAAGGTTTCTCGAAGCCTGCCGGGCGAAACGGAAGAGCTGAAAGTGCGAACGAGCGAGGGAAACATCGCCACTTTGATCGTTAAGCGACGGGACAAATCATCATCAGTCACCATCGACGATACGAAGCTCGCGCCGAAACTTGCCCAGGAAGAATCATCAAACGTCACCGCGGAGAATAAAAGTGATTCTTCCGCGAGCGTGCAGGCCGATTCGAAGCTCAAGAACGAAGCTAAAAAGAAGAACGAAGTTCGCAGACTCGAGGAGGCTCAAGTGGAGCAAATCAGAGCGACATTTTCCAAAGCATCTTTAGAATCGAAGAATGAAAAATCGAATCAGACCGACAAAGAACTTTCTGAAAGAAATCAGCCTGTCAGCCCGATCGATTACGGGCATTGGACGCCTCTGGACGCGGACGGGCGGGCTTTGAAACAGGAGGAACCGGAAGAAGAGGAGGAGTACCGAAGCTGGAAACCGTTGCAGACGGATCCGAAGACTGCCACCGAGGAGAATTACGGCAGATTCAATGAAGCCGGAATCGTCGGAGGTATTCTGTTTGCCAGAAACTTCCAGGATCGGGCTGACAGTAATCACGAGTTCGAGGCCGATAAGAACGAGCGAGCTCTCTATTACACATACGTGCCGCACCAATCTCGACCGTCCACGAGGACAAATATCGGTGCAAACCTGTCGAAAAATCGAGACGGCAAGGCCGTGCCGCCTGAGGTGACCGTCCGATCGGAAATCAATGTTAAACCTATACCGAAGAGGCTGCCGATGTCGCTGGACATCGACGGCACGCCGGTGGTTCACGGCACGAGAGTGCCTGACGAGCCTATCGACAAAGTGCAGACCTGGCGGAACGCTCGGGTTATCAATAACAAGCTGGTGACACTCGAACGAAGCCCAACGGTCACCGCGCAGCCGTCTGAATCTTATTCCGATGACAATGCGGAGAAGAGGCAGAAATTCGAGCAGTTCTTCAAGGACGTCAATCGAAGGTAGGAAAGAATGCGAAGTAAAAAAAAACATCAATCTGCCCGAACAGTAAAATTATTTCTGTAACAATAGTTGTTTATCAATTATATTAATCATCCGTTAAATTAAATGACAAATTTCTAATCCTTGTCGATTTCGTTTTACGCAGATACGGTCGCAATTACGACGACGAAGGCCGTAACGTGTACTTCGAGTGGGATCCGCGGAACTACAAGAACGAGGCTTTGAAGGCGGAAGTGTATGACCATTATCGCGCGAGTATACACAAGAGGATGCTGCATCCGGACGGCGTCGCCAACTACCCGATCTCGCAGCGTTACACTCCCGACAGTCAGACAATCGCGCCCGTGGCTCTGAAGCCGGGCGCTCGCGCGCCCGTTCTCCAGTACGCGCATCCCGAGCTGGGCGTGCAGCCGGCGAAAATCCTGAAGAACGAGAAACGCCGACCCGACAACTTCCCCGAGAACCAGCACTCGTTCACCGAGCACCGTCACAAGAAGAAGTACGTTCTCAACGACAAGAACATCGTGGACAGCTACACGACGAAGAACTACTATCCGAATCAGCATTTCTACGGACTAAAGCGACCGAACGATCCGCCTTTCTGGATGAAGATCTCCGAGAATCTGAAGAATCAGTTCTCCACCGGGGTCGAGAGGGTCTCGCAGTTCACCAGGCCGGTGATCGATCCGCTGGTGGAGGCGACGCACAAGATCTCGCAGAATCTCGGTCTGTCTAACGGCAAGGAGGCGCAGGACAAAATCGGCACGGTGGCGTCGGGCACGAGTATCCTCATACCGGCTCTGGGTCTCGTCGCGTCCGGCGCCGCTCTGGGAATAGGCGCCGTCGCGGTCGGCCGGTACCTCGACGTCGACGTGCTGAAGCGATCGCACGCGGACGACATCGATCTGGAACACAAGCGAGCCCTAGATACTGACGCGCACTTGAAAACGGCCGAGAGCGCAAATTCGTACGGAGCGACGCCGCAGACTCTGTACGTTTTGCAGAACGTTCCGCGGGATAATAAAGCGGCAGATGAGGGAGCGAGCTCGGAGGATGACGGAGTTTTTTTGATCCTGGAAGAAGATAAGCGGAATGCCGAGAGAATTGAGAATCGTGAGAATGGACACACGGTGAACGAGGGCGATTATGTAGAGACTGGCGGACGAAGGAGAAGAAGCCTCGACTACATGGACATCTTTAAGGCGGAATCCGATATGAAAAATCTGTTGCACGACAAACACTTACAGAGGAAGGGAGCCGATTCAATCAGCGAAATCGTGGAGATAGATCTGCCTGCTGACTCAGGCGGCCGTATTGACATCACCGAATTCTTAATTCCGAAAAAGAAAGATAAGAAGAAAAACTGGAATAAAAATACCATTCTAGTTCTCGAGGACGACTCGAAAATCCTGCCAGAAAATCTTGAAGTGGACGTGCCGGATCTGAACGCATTGGCGAACAGCGCGAAGATGGTCGGAGACATTTTCGATAATTCACAGAATGCAGTTTCGATGAAAGAAAATAGGAGTTGGAGACGAAGGCGAAGCGCCGATAGCGATCAAGAATTGCTGGACGCGCTGCAGAATCTGGAGAACGCAGAAGTAGCCGAAATCGCTCACATAGAAGGCGATTGGACGAACACGCCTTGCGCGAAAAGAATATTTTGCGACGCGATGATTCAAAGAGGGGCCGACGCTGCGGTGCTTATGGAGAAGAAAATGGCGGCATTATTAAGACTGTGAGTGTTACACATAACATTTCTAAGAAATAGAAATAAAGTAAATTAGTTACATAATGAATAATTATGACAGTTGAACAGAGATGTTCGTAAAATGTAAATGAAAAAAGAATTACGATTCAGAAACTTGAGTTAAAAAATTGGCATGCCTTTTGCATGTTTATTCAAATTACTATTTGTTTCTTATTACAATATCTCGCAAACTAGCATGTTCGCTGCGAGCAAAATTGAGATGCAGTGCGCAATCACCCGTAGCATATTTAGCTGACATCCTCGTGAAATCGCACGCGCGATTAAACCGGCCTGAACTATCGGGCATTCAAAGTATCAACGGACGTCGATAACAGCCGGTCGGACGGAACTATAGTTCGAGTCGCGGATAACTTTCTTCCAGCTTTCGCCGACGCGACGTCCTACTGACTGATTCGACTTTTACCTCTTAGCACAGTTTCACTGTATGCACAGACTGCGCCCTGTCTGCTATCGCGCTGACCACACGCGATAGAAAAGGAAAACCCGGAGAGAGAGAGAGACGGAGGAAAAAGAAAAGGACTGACGCGTTATCGAAAAAGAGAAAACAAAAGACAAAGGAAAAAATTCGCGCACAATCGATACGATAATTCACTTAGCATGTCACGTTTGCCTTTCCAATTCTCTTCAATCGCGTCCGGTTACCTTTTGACATATTTTCATGTCATAGTGATCAAGCCGTAGATATCATTTCAAGTGACACATATGATTTATTGCTGCGCATTAGCAATATTAATCCGCAAGGCGACGTGTATTAATAAGTTAACAAATAATGTATCAAATTTTGCTAAGAAAAATCTTTTCCCATATTAATTGATCAATTATTTTTTTATCAATTCATTATTATAAAATTTTCCCAATCAATCATTCGCAAAATGGGCAAATTGAAATTCTTTTAAATCAGCTTGCGTAATTGTATTCGACGCGCATGAAAGAAAGCGAGTTAATTGGAGCGAGCACTCGTTAACGGAACGTGATGAAAATGTCAGAAGATTAAAGCATTTTCAATCTGACGCAAATCCAATTAGTAATTAATACGCGTGCGGCGTATCGATGGTTTGTCGAAGTGTGTCTCCGACTTTCTAATGATCCTACGCTAATCGCATGACGTTTCCGTGTATTTACAGAATTCAGCCTGGAGCAGCTGTTCAAGTATCCAGTCACTTCGAGGAGGTCATGAGTGCCGTCAGGCAACACGATTGTTCCAGCTTCCTGTGCCCGCAGGCGAGGCCCGGCAACGTCTTCTTTTAAATAAAGTATTTTTGAAACGAGAATAAGTATGTCTCGTATATAAGATAAATCGTTGAGTTGAAATTCGCAACTCGCTCGATTGCAATAAATGATAATTAGAATTTTTCACACCCAATTTTTAGAAAAGTGCTACGTTAATTTCGATGAAATTATAAATTAATACGTTTCCGCTAAATACGTCGAGTCGGCACCGAGAGCCGAGAAACTGTACATATTTAATGCCATCGAGGCGATTTTATTTAATACACATTCCTAATTGTAATTTAGATGATTAAGCATAGAATTAGAAAAAGTAGAAGAGAGAATGAAAGATCGGCGAAAGGCGAAAGTTGCATCTCTTGTAACTTCTACGAATGTTTACCGTATCACGGTACTTTCTAATCGCCCCTTGGTAAACATGTCCGTCTATCGCTTCATTTTGTATCACTTCTGATTCCCGCGTTTCGTTCGAATAAATTGTTTCGTACGTAACAAAAAATAATTTAATTCGACGCTGGAGATCAGAAGCGATTAAAGTATTAAACGCGAATCATACTAACACGAAAACACAGCCACTGTATTGTTTACGAGAACATATTTATTTCTGCCCTTTTGTACACGTACGATATCGTGTTTGTAGGTAAATAAATAAATAATATTTTTTACGATATACTTGTAGTCTTTTAATGTGATCTAATCTCGCTTCACAGTGATATCTTACCGTAAAGTTCCCGCAGCAACAGCCAGAAATGGAAGATTTTAACATCGAGCAAGCAATTTGCTTATAGTCGAAAATAAAGTCCTACATTCGTTTCATATTTGATTCAGCACATCGTGATTACATGTTACTATCGATTGTTATCCGAAAGGGTTTAGAAAAGCACTCACAGAGGGTAGCGGTTAAACCCTTCGTGTACGGAGCAAGCGCAACACACGGTAAATTGGTATAATCGCAACAGGCGATTCAGTCAAACGATAAATTTCGCTCCGTGAACTTCGATGAATCTCAACAAAGGTAGAATACATATCTCGGAAAGCTAGACAAAAATTCGCACCGTGACATTCTGACAAAAAATATAATCTCATTGTGTAAAATATGTAATGTAGAAGTGTATCAACAAAATCAAGTTTTTGATCATAAGTGCGTTAATCGAAAGGTTTTCAGTTTGAGTAGTGTAAAACATTGATAAAAAAAGTAAAAATTAATAATTTCTAAATTATTCTTCTTGAAAGAACATGATAATAGAAAATTATTAAACTACCAAATAATTTGCTTTACAGAATATGATACTCTTTATTGTGAAATGAATTGTATATTTTCGTTATTTTCTCCATCGTTTGCTAATCGCGAAGTTAAATTTATATTTTATCTTATCCGTTTACTTACTTTGTTAAAATATAAAAAAAATTTCTTAAAATAGCTATATATCGCTCATAATATGCTATTTATTAAATTCATTTTTTCACTAACACATTAATAATTAAAAAAATGTAATACATTGCATAACAATATTTACATAACAAACAATTGCTTATCAGATAAAAAATAATTTCCTTCCGATAATTTAATGCAAAAGTTTGTAAAAATCATACCGTGCTGCAAACAGTCTATAGACACGACATGAAACTTTATCTCTCACAAAAGTTTGCGTGAGTTGCATTAAACTTTGTACGGTAGCAAAAAAAGTCTATCGACGGATAACAAAGTGAAAACAAGTGGTAATTTTTTTGAGTGACCAAGGGTATAGCTAGGAAAGATAAAACGATTGCATTTGTCACAAAAGTCATTGTTTGTTACTCTCTGGTATAGAGTTCTCGAAAACTTTAATGCTCAGAAAACTGAAAAACAGTTAAAACAGCGATATTTTCGTCCAGTTAATAATACAAAATGTTGTAAAAATATCTTGCTCTCAGTAATATTTTTTTCCAAAATTTGGGTTTGTTAGATTTTAATTACGCGTTTGCTCTGAGTCGCCAATGTTTGAGGATATTAGGCGTGTGGCCCGATCCGCATACCTCTTTGAGTGATTTTCGCCGGCCAAGTATAAGATTTGTGATTGTGGTGTGCACTCTGTGTTTTTACGTGCTTATACCGCAAATAACAAATATGATTCACGCTTGGGGCAATATAACTCGCATGGTGGACTATGTCAGCTCCGTGAATTTTAGTCTGATGGGACTGTGCAAGTTAATCATTACATGGTATCACGGTAAAAGTAAGTTTCTTTTTGCAATAATAAAAATATAAAATAAAATTATTCTTTCAAATAACATAAATATTAAGATAGCCAGATAAAGATAGTCCTCAGTATTGTTCAACAATATTCTTATATTAAGATGGTTCACTTTCAAAATTTATATTTATACTAATTCATTACGTTTAATATGAAAGCACTTCGGACACTGATGACATCAGTCATGGCTGATTGGGTAAATTCGAAAAGTGACTGGGAACGGAATACAATGTTGAAGATCGCGGGACGCGGCAGAAGCTTGTCTTTCAGATGTTACGCGTCCTCGATGCTCACTATCTCATTTTACTTATGTTTCAATCTTTTGAAGTTTTACCGAAACATGCAACATTCTCAACGGAACCTCGTCTATCATTTCGTCTATCCTTATAACATTCAAAAGAGTCCGAGTTACGTAATCACATACTTCACCCAAATTTCTGGTGGCGTATACTCAGTCCTCATTAACTGTACTGTCGACAGCTTCGTTTCGATACTCGTGCTACACGTGTGCGCACAACTAATCAATCTACGAACAACACTTAAGAATTTGATCGACGAATTAGCCGACAAATCTATATCCTCTTTGAGATTTACAGAAGACCTGGCTGCGATTATTATACGACACGAACATCTCATCAGGTACTGGAGAATTTTCGGCGCATCACAAAATATCTATCAAATGTCTCATTTTAAATATTATGCATTTAAATATTTCGGAAATAAAACCTTTGGGATAAAAGTTTCAAGTGAAAATGGCCAAGGAGACATAAGATGGTGATTTCAGTTTGCCTTGAGTTCTTCTATTAAGTTTAAGACAAAGTTAACTTGAATTTTTCAAACAGTAAGTATATTTTTTAGCAATTTAAAAAATTTTGCTTTTTCCAAATTTTGAGAAAAAATATTTTTTAATCCAGAATCAATGACGTTAATACAACGGAAATCTGATTTCTTTAGTTTTCTTGAGTCTCTGTGCGTCTTCTTTCCAAAAAAATAATTTTTTTAATGGCTAAAATACAATTTATAATGCCATTTAAAAAATTCTCTTTAAAAGTAACTCTTGGCTTAATCTTGATAAAAGGACTTGAGATTAAACTGAAGTTTTCATCTTATGTTTCTCTCTGCTTTTCGCCTTTGGCATAACATTAATCTAACATTTTTTTCCCAAAAATGTCTCGGTTTTAAAATATTTAGATGTACTATTTAATATAGAACACTTTGTAAATATCTAAGCAAATTGTTTGAAATATTTACAAATGCATTTCAACATCTCTCTCAGTTATAAGAACAAAAAAAAGTAAATATGAATTTTCTTTTATGCAAATATTTCAAAGATAACTAATATGCCTTTGCTTAAAAAATTTAAAGTTATTAATTTTAAACATGAGTAACAAAAATGCAAAAACCACTTACTCCTCTGACATTTAACACAAAAATATTTAATTAAATTTGTTTTTTGAGATTTATACATTAAAATTATAATAATAAATCAATAAAGTGAGTAACAAATAATATACGAATTTTTTAAGGAATGCGAAAACAATTGACGAATGTTATAGCACAGCATTATTTGTGCACATGCTAACCGCTACTTTTCAGCTGCGTTTTCAAACTTTTCAGGTTTATACGGTAAGTAAAACAACTTGCACGCGTTTTTTTCATAATAGAAAAATTATAATACATTGCGCAGAAATTTTACAACACAGTTTACTATTCTTTTCAACTATTGAACTAAAAGACGCATTATTTTCAGCTAGTAACAGATCATTTGAACGTGTCTTTTATCAGAATGGCTTTCCTGTCGTTTGCTGTCATTCTTGTGTTGACGCATTTGTATATTTATTGTTACTCGGCGGAAAGACTTTTAACAGAGGTAAGAAAATTGTCTACTTTATTGTGATATGCACGAAACAAAAATCGTAATTTTCAGAGCACCAGCATAGCATATGGCATATATGAATGCAAATGGTACGATTTACCATCGAAAAATGCAAGGGAGCTAATGTTTATTGTATATCGATCTATGGTTCCACTTAAAGTAACAGCTGGAAAATTTGGAATTTTTTCAATGGAGATGTTTGGAATAGTAAGATATCTATGAAAAAATAATAAACACGTTGCAATTGTGTTGCATAAAAATATCAAATTTAAAAAATAAATAGTGTTTTATTTTTGTTCTATTTTAGATTATGTGTGTATTTATAAAGTTTTGGATAAATCTATATACGTATGATAATACGATAGCATTAATATTATCAGCCATAAAAATAAAATTGAATATCATTTCCAATTTTTATCTTGTTTAGATGATAAAGACGTCAATGGGATACTTATCCGCGTTATTAACAATGAGAAACTAGAGGAAACAATGTGTTCAAAATATTGTAAAATCAAACTAATTCTATATAGCATGGCCTACAAGTTATTTTCAAATAATTTCGCATATATGCGTTATTTGTAACTGTTATGAAATAAATACACATTTCTGCGTAACAAAGTAAGCTATTTATTAGCCTCCGTTTGTCGTAAAAAATTTTAAAAATCTTCAAAAGGTAAAGATCTGAAAAAGTAACAAATTCTTTGCAATTTTCAATCTAGTTGTTTTCATAGTATTTCCTAATTATCTCCGGGATAAACATGTCCGGTTTAAAACCTTATGTTATATTTTGTCACGACGTTCCTCTCGTACAAATTATTTTGCAACGAAATATAATTTAATTGCAGATAAAACAATAAAAATATTATATGTGAGTATTACTAATATAATACAAAGTCATATTAGTAATGTATTAATTATGAGAATATAAATATTTTTGTCTTTCTGCAGAATTACAATAACGCGTCGATAAGTGAACAAATAACATTTTATATGATATACTTATATACTTATAATTTTTTAACAAAATCCTCTTTTGCTTCAATGACATCTCTTCGCAACAGTTAGAAACTAAATAATCTCGACAATAAACTCGAATATTCTCATCAAGTAAGTAACTTGCTTATAGTTGAAAAGCAGCTGTTATATTCACTTCGTATTCAATTCAGCCTAAGACGATTACGTGTTTAGTCGCATCGCTATCGATTGTTGACCGAAAGGGTTTAGAGAAGTACTTACAGATGGTGGTTAAACCCTTCGTGTATAAAGCAAGCGAGATCACAACGGATTGGTATAAACGCAAAGAGACAATTCGGTTAAACGATAGTTTTCACTCCGCAAACTTCGATGAATAACAACAAAGGTAGAATATATATCTCGGAAAAACTCGCAACAATTCGCACCGCGACATTCTAATAAAAATATAATCGGTTTGAGTGCAATAGCCATGCCATATGGAAGAGTATAAAAAATCAAGTTACCAAAATCAAAACCACATAAGTGCGTTAATCAAAAGTTTTTGTTACACATTAAATATCGTAAAACATTGATAAAGTAATGGTTAATTAGCGCTCACTTATTATTCGCGTAATAGAAAGAGAGAAAACAAGATAATAAAAAATTATTAAATAACCAAATAATTTGCTTCACGGATTATTCTTTACATACAGAAATATATTATACTTCCATTATTTTTATTATTAATACATTTCGTTGCAAATTCGCGCAGTTTTATTTTATGTTTTGTCGTACGTTTACTTCACCAACGTTAAAAACATATTTCTAAAAATGTCTCTGTATTATTAACCACGTAATATTTATTTAAATTCATTTACTTAATGACATATTAATCACTGAAAATGTGTTCTGCATGATAATATGTGCATAACAGATGATTATTTGTTAAAATATAATTTGCTTTTGATTTATTGCAAAAGTTTGTAAAAATCATACTTTTTGCTGCAAGCAGTCTATAGACGTCCTATAGCAAGCACTTCATCTTCTCCACAAAAGTTTGCACGAGTCGCATTAAACCGAGTACGATAGCAAAAAATATTCACTTTCATCGTATAAAGTAAAAACAAATGGCAATGTTTTTGAGTGGCAAAGGTGGGTATAGTTCGGCAAAAATAAAACAGTCGCGTGGACGCACAGATAGTTCTTTTCGCTGTATTATACGGAGTTCTCAAAAACTTTGATCCCTAGAAAAGATATTTTAAGCAAATATTTTTCAAATTAATGATACGAATTGTTGTAAAAATATATTGCTCTCAATAATATTTTTTTCTAAAATTTGGATTTGTTAGATTTGAATTACGCGTTTGCCTTGAGTCGACAATGTTTAAGGCTATTAGGCGTGTGGCCCGATCCGCATATCCCTTTGAATGATTTTCGCCGGCCAAATATAAGATTTGTGATTGTGGTGTGTGTTCTGAGTTTTTACGTGATCGTACCGCAATTAACAAATATGATTCGGGTTTGGGGTAACGTTGCTCGCATGGTGGAATACGTCGCCTCCGCGAATTTTAGCCTAATGGCGCTATGCAAATTGATCACTACCTGGTATCATGGCAAAAGTAAGTTACTTTAAAGTAATAAAGATATTGAATATATCATATGTTTTCACCTTAAACAAATAAACGTTAAGATGTTTAAATGACTGATTCTACATACGTGATTATTCAATAATATTTTTGTATATTAATGATTCGCTAAATATATATTTGTAATACATTAATTTTTTTTATTCAATTAAAAGCACTGCAAGCGCTGATGACATCAGTCATGAGAGATTGGGTGACTTCGAAAAGTGACTGGGAGCGAAATACAATGTTGAGGATTGCGAGACGCGGCAGAAGCTTGTCTATTAGGTGTTACGCGTGGTCGACGTGCACGATCTCGTTTTACTTATGCTTCAATTTTTTAAAGTTTTACCGAAACATACAGCAGTCTCAACGGAGCCTCGTCTATCACTTTGTCTATCCTTATAATATTCAGAAGACTCTGAACTACATAATAACCTACTTCACTCAAATGTGTGGTGGTATATACACGGGCCTCATCAACTGTACCGTCGACAGCTTTATTTCGATACTCTTGCTACACGTATGCGCACAACTGATAAATCTACGAACGACACTTAATAACGTGGTTAACGGACTAGCCGACAGATCCACATCATCAATGAGATTTAAAGAAGGCCTAGCTGCGATTGCTGTACGACATGAGCATCTCATCCGGTACGTTAGAGAAACTTTCGTTCATTATTTTATATTATAAAATATACGACTATCTGTCTCTCTGTGGACCAAATTATTTGAAATATTATAAATAAATTTCAGCATCCCACATATTCATAAGAACAAACATATAACTTATAATCAAATATTTTTCTTTGATAAAAATGTTCTTTTTTTTTAATATTCTTTTAAATAACAAAAAGAAAAAGAACAAAATAACAAAAAGAAAACTGAAGTTATCAGTCTTAAATGTAAACGACAAGAAATGTAAAGCTGATTAATTCAATATACAGAAATTTGCACTTTGATATTAATTATTTTCTGAGATTTGTACATTGAAATTCTTGATAAAATCGATGCATAATGAATAAATAATGTATTAAATAAATATTTTAGAAATGCAAAGACGATCGATGACTGCTACAGCGGAGTGTTATTTGTGCATATGCTATGCGCCACTTTTCAGTTATGTTTTGAAACTTTTCAAGTTTTTACGGTAATTAAGACAATTTATATAGATTTAACACTCGTTTATTTTATAGTAGACAAATAAAATATATATATTAAAGTTAGTAATAACGTCTTTTTGTAGTATTAATTGTTATGCAACTATTATATGGAAATACATGAATTAAAAAATGTTGTTTTCAGATAATAACAGATCATTTGAAGGTGTCTATTTTGAAAATGGCTTTTCTCTTGTTTTACGCCATCGTTGTATTGATGCATTTGTACCTTTATTCTTATTCGGCTGAAAAACTTTTAACAGAGGTAAAATATTTATGTACATTAACGCGGCATATGCAGAACGAAACTGTAATTTTCAGAGCACCAATATAGCGAACGGCGTGTATGAATGCAAGTGGTACGATCTGCCATCGAAAAACGCAAAGGATCTAATGTTCATCGCACATCGATCTAAAATTCCACTTCGATTAACAGCTGGAAAATTTGGAGTCTTTTCAATGGAGATGTTTGGAACAGTAAGATATCTAGAGAAAACAATATTATTGTAACTATTGTGCACAAATAAATTTCTGTAATTGTGAGTATGTGCGCGTATGTAAAAAAATAATTTTATCTTTAATTTTTACTATTTTAGACAGTAAAGACGTCAATGGGATATGTATCCGCATTGCTCACAATGAAAGACTAGAGAAAAGGTGTTAGAAATAGTACCGATTTAATTCTGTATAACTGACCACTATTTGTTTTCAAATAATAAGATAAACAAGTTTATATGCGTTATTTGTAACATTTGTAATTTTTACTAAACACATACACATTTCTGTGAAGCAAAGCAAGCTATTTAATGGTATTATATTGATAGTGTTATAAAAATACTGTACGGCAGTTATTGCGTTATCGCGCGTAAATGCGTTTAATAAATTTTAGTAAATCTAAAAATCGAAATAAACCGTATATGATACTACAGTATTTTTTTTAATCTTAAGCCATAAATATTTAATATTCAAAACTTTATGACTTTTGCAAACTAAGCGACATAATATAAGATTAATAATAAATCTGCGTAGATATTAGTTAAAATAAAAAAACCGCATAAGTAAAATATTTAAATTTTGTTGATAAGATATTACAACAATATAGCGCTTATGTTAACGTTTGTTAATTCTATTATAATGTAAACTCATTTTATCGCATACATTATTTGATCAAAATTATTTCTTGGTATAAGTTTATATGCTTCATATCAAACGCACATCGCATTTTAATTAGATAATACTGTAAAAAAGATATACATATATTCTTTTTCTGAAAAGTTTCCCTCTAATGTGCTTGTAAAATTCTGAGATGCTAACTATAATTCAATTAATCATTATAAACTTAATAAAATTAAGTTATTAAACCTAAAAATCGAAATAAATCTTAATCGAAATAATATTTCGATCTAAAATATTGTTAAAAAACTTATTAATAAAACACATATAACACATATAATGGAAAGGCTCATATGATAACTATCAAATAATATAATGGAAAGCACTGAGAACCGTAGCGGGATGTTAGTGCAAAATTTTTAATTTTTCTTAAAGAAAGTAATTGTACACCTTATTAATAAATCTATAATATAATCAATTTTTATTATATTCAAATATCAAAATAAATCATATGTGATGTCATCACTTGAAATATTGTAACAAAACTTGTTAATAAACCCAAAAAATGTTAGTAAACCTAAAAATCAAAATAAACCATATGTGACATTATCGTATGAAATATTGCA